AAAAAATAAAAATAAAAATAAAAACTATATATTTCCATCTTTGAAAACATATCCAACCGACCCCTTGTGTAGACTTTTCATTTCGGTATCATTTTTCTGTGGAAATTCTTAAACGCTCAGAGTTTTTTGAATGGCAAAGTTAACAGGCTTAGTAGTGAGAAATATGTATGTAAAACTGGCCAATAGTAACACTAGTTAGTCTCTGTCCCTTGTCTTTAGGTTGGTTTCGTTAAAACAAACACGTCATCGTCCATTATACATGTAAAAAGGCCCCAGCTGACCATGTTTAAGGTTGAGCCTATGACAGAAGAGTGATTCATTTCTAAATATACACATAAGTATATAAGGTGGGTCGATCGATTTGTACATTAGCCGATCGGCAAGGGATAGTGTTTGTCACATGACAGAGTTTATGGTATCACCAACATCACGAACAGAAATAAAACAAGACAGCCCTTTATGTTTAATACACCAAAAGAAATTAAAAATGAGATAATGGTTGTGATAAAGGATTTTGAAGATGGTTATTCAATAATAAATGGGAAAAATACTTTAGTGTAGAACGCAGAAAAAATCACGATTTTCAGCAATTCCCGATGACGTCATCTGAAATGAATGAATGAATGAATTAGGCTTCGCATCCACATCACGTCTTCAAGTCTATTATATGCAATGGACTTAGGACTATTCTGAGGAACAATGATTGAACTGGATCTGTCATCAGTGCTCTGATCGGTACAGCCATATGTTGTGGCATGTATGGTGTCTTTGAGGGTGTGGTCGCGGTTTATTTAATCAAACTGCATATATGATTTACCTATTGTTAATCCCTCTACACTAGGCCAATGAGCAAAAATATTTACTTCCGCTGTTATAACCTTAAAAAGAATTATAAATTCAAAAATTGGAAGATTGCCTTGAATGGCTCACAGTTGATCCGGTCCATCAGATGCACGGTGCTCTTTGCACGTGACGGGTGGGACAAGGCGAGTCGTGTATCATTAATAGGTGCATAATTCCATTCTTTGAACAGTTCAGGGTACAGTACAAGAACTTTCTCTTCTACGTTGCGCTTTTAAATTGCAGGCCCAAACGAGTTCCCTTGTTTTGTATAAAATAAAAGGTCTTAGGTGACAAGAAAAACATATACTTCTGATAAGCGAAAATCTTGTGCAATCCGTCAGCAGGGGTGGAAATCGCGTTTAGAAACTAACTTCACTTTCAACATCCACTAATCAGCTCGGTAAGACGATAATCCTTATTTTCTATCTTGATTGTCTTACGGTTTCATTTAGCTTCTTTCCAATGTTCGGCCCGTGAATTTAAGAGATTTTTGTAACTCTTAAATGTGTCTGCAACTTTAGATTCGACTTTATGTATATTTTTTGTTGCATATTTTTGTCATGGTTTGGTTTTTGCACCGTGACGGGGTCAAGTGAAACAAAGGAGGGGGAGCAGTTACTAAACAGTTGTAAAATTCACGGCATTGAAAATGCGGTGAAAACGAATGCGTAGTCTAAAATAGGATCAAATCAAGGTAGGTAGATATTTTGTCTCTTGACAAGAAAAAAACTCAAAAATTTTATGATTAAAGAAAGAAAGAAAAAATGATCGAAAAACAATAAGAAAGAGCAAGACCAGTTCGCTAATCCACAGCGATAATGAACCCTTCTCATAATGGTCTCAAATGCGATGCTAACATGGAGATACATAAGAAATACCACAAATTTCATTGAGAAAAGTGCGATTCTTTTGCATTTTCATGCTATTATCCTCGCATCCAAGTTCTTTATGAGAAAGATCCATTTTTATGCAGAAAATGATTAGTTTAGCTATCAATCTTTTGAAAGTAAAGTCAACTGATTGGTTTATGAGTTTTTGGAAGGCTGGTAACTTGTCTGGATTGTTGACAGTGATTATCACTAGGTAGGCCTATTAGGGATTTTTCCTAACCCCGGCAACAAACACACACTCAAAAGCTCATAAATTAGAAGAATCTTTATTTAAAAATGCGATTTTGATTGGATAAATCTAACATCGTGAAAACATAACCTCATTAGCCTATGTATTTTCGTGAGGCAAAATTTATTCGAAAGAAGAAGCTGATGGATAGGATTGCTAGACACAATCCTGTCTACGAAAACCAATGTAAACAATTTATTGAAGGGACGCCATGCATAGTAATTGGCTGATCAATCCAAGTGAACGGCACATGCTGAAGCTGTCCCTTGAGATCAGTGGACTATGTCAATAACCGCGAAGAGTAGTGACGCTTGGATGGTTATTGCTCAAAGAACTTCAAATACTGGCTTCACGAGGGTTTCACATGACCCTCTGATATAAATGAATTTATTCTGGGCTTGGTTTAATCCCGGGCCTAAGTTCTAAGTTCATTGCCGCATCATCCAAGCATGGAGCGCGAAATGTTGACTCCTCACGCACTCAGCGTTACGTGTTATGACATTCTAGCACCTAAACTTTTCAGCACCCTTGGTTATTTCAACGCCCATTTTACTTGGATTTAATTGAGGACGTGAATATTTATTCGTAGAAATCAATGAGCAAATACTGAGGGCGGCGAAGGATTGTTTACTCCAGTGTATTCACGAAAAGAAATCCTAAATCCTCTCAGAATACCCTTACAAAAGGCTATTCTTTGGAGCTTTTCGCCACCTTGATAGTAAAATAGAATTTGTACTTTGGATTTGCAAGTTGCTTTGTTTACATGAATGATCTGGTTCGTATCTTGAGCCAGTTTGATGTCGATATCTTCGCATATTTGCGCGATTGAAATGAATTTCAGTGCCATAACGCAAGATGACATGAAGCACGTTCTAAGGACTGTGACTTTCAGTCTCGAGTAGCTCAAGACCAAACATAGCAGACAAATTTGAACACGCTGACAATTTCTCGTCAAAATAATCTCGAATCCTAATGTCGAGTACATGTCACGATTTGAATACAACTTTCTTGGTTTTGTAATCATATTTTAGCGCAGGCCACCCTCCCCCTGCTGACTAGTATTGCGCCATTTTCACACCCAGAACTTGGTCTCTTGCGCCAAACCATGCCAGTGATTGGTCAAGCGCTTAGAGTTCGCGTCATGATTGGCCTAGATTTGACAATGCCGTCAATTTATAAGCTTCAAACGTGCAAATAACGCGTGGTGCCTCAATAGTTCCAACCCAAAGGTCATTGTTGGGCTGGGTCTTTCTTTACTGTGAAAGGCGTTGGATCGAAGCTCCATCGAGTGATCATTGAGTTGTGTTCTTTGATTTTTTCTGCCCTAGAATGGCGACTGAAGTAGAATCTGTTCCTCAGGAACAACCCCAAGTTGTGGTAGAAGAGAGCAAAGGAGACGAGAACCATGTTGAAGAAAACAAACCGGCAGAAGAGGCTGAAGCGGCGGAGAAGATCGAGGACGCTGTTCCCGCTGTAGTCGACGGAGAATCGAAGAAAGAGGAAAATGGCAGCGTACCACCAAAAGTGATTCTTCATCAGCATCCCCCGTGCAACAATATACCGAGTTTTCTGCCAGCTTCTCTTAAACTGGAGACATTCCTGAGAATGCACAAGATTCCCTACGAAAATAAGTACGTCCACAAACTCGGTTCGGATAAAGTGAAGTTGCCATTTATAGAGTATGAAGGCGATAAAGTGCAGGATGCCAACTTCTGTATCAAATATTTGAATAACAAGTTCGATCTCAATCCCGATGGTCATCTTAGCGAGGAACAGCGTGCTGTTGCTCATGCATTTTCGACTATGGCTGAGGAAAACACGTACTGGAGTTTGGCTTACTATCGCTGGGTCGATAACTTCGGCGAAACCAAGAAATACTACAGCAACCTGGCGCCTGTCGTCAAGGACGTACGCCCAAAACTCGATCAAAGCAAGTGCATCAAATGTATGCAAGCTCATGGAATTGGAAAGCATACGAAGGATGAAATATATGGAATTGCCGAAGCCGACTTGCGAGCTTTGTCAGCGTTTTTGGCAGAGAAGGAGTTTTTCATGGACGGTGAGCCCTCTGTCATCGACTGCACCATGTTTGGCCTTTTGGCTAGCATCATTGATGGCGCTCCAGAGTCACCGCAAGCTAAACTAATCAAAGAAGAGTTGAAGAATTTGGCTTTATTCTGTGATACTATGAAGTTGAATTACTGGCTCGACTGGGGAGAAATTTGCAACGAAGAAAACGCCGAAGAATTCAAGCCCAAAAGCCGGCTGAGTTTCAAAAATAAGAAAAAGCGCGCAAAGTCAACCGATGGGAAAGAAGGCGAGGGTGAAAGTGACAAAGCCGAAGAAAAAGCCGAAGAAAAGAAGGAGGGCGAGGAGGCAGCCTCTGCCGAAGACGCATCTCCCGAGAAAGAGGAGGCTGCTGCTTCCGGTGAAACGGCAACCGCCGAAGAAGGCGCGAAACCCGAGGAAACACAAAAGGAAGAAGCCGAAGCAGAACCTTCGAAAGAACCCGAAAAAGAAGATAAACCCGAACAGTAAAAAAATGTAAGATTTACTTGATATTTATTTCATTTTCTTAGCATTTCTTCTTCTTTACTGATCCACCAAAGGCTCTGTGTAATGTACGATATAAAATTTAATCAGTAATGTATAGGCGTTAATATATCTTGATAGTCTCTCTAGGCTCCAAATATTTCCCCCTCTCTTTAGAAAAAGTACGTTCGATTCCTTAGCTGTGGATTATTTGCGAAAAAACATCTTTATACCGAAATTTTTCCCTCCAAAAATGCTGTTCAGTTTCTTGATATGGCCAAGAAACTCTGTAAAGAGGTCAAAGTAATGGCCAATTTTTTTCTCTCGTAAGACGGCCTGAATGTTACGATTGAGTCAAAATGTATCGGAAAAACTTTGATTGAAATGAACACGTTGCTTCTAGGAAAATTTATTCGACCGTTTGAAGTCATTGATTCTCGATTATTCGTGAGGATAGGAGTGCCGCATCGATTTGTTTTCTCGCTGAGGTGGGGCAATCTATGGATTTGTATTCCCGCTTGTCAATATGTACAAGCTCCTAAGTTACTTGCCGTTTGAATGGAACGCAACCATCCATCGTTTGGATCTTTGATTTTTTTCGTTAAATATAAATCTAATACCTCGAAAAGTTAAAGAACAATTTGGGTTAGTGCTTCTTATATTGAGCATTCGGCAATAGCTGTTCATGGAGCGAGAAAACTCTAGGGGGGAGCCCATTGAAGATCATCTGCATGAGAGAAGCTGCGGGCGAATGTAATGAAATTATTATCAAAAATGTGTAACAATTGGATGAAAATCCTTGTGGCGCTTTCATCGAGTCGATGAGGAATTGATCTTTCTTGTTTTATTGAAATTTGCTCATATCGTATATCTCCTAAGCTAGCCGAGTGTGAATTACGACATATACTGGGCTTACACTTGGTAAATATTTACTTACAAAGTAATCTAGCTGCAGTTTGTTTCAGCCAAATTCTATTGCGAAACCCCAAACCAAGCGAGCCTTTATTTATGCTTCAAACCTAACCCAAACTAACTTTTGCTTCTTCTTTGCTTATATGGCTTCTTAAAAATTTCCATATTTTATCCCAAAAACAACTCGTGAAACTCGATATGTTTTACTTTCATTGGCAATATCCTTTTCGAAATGCTGTAGATTTTCGACTTTCCATCTGTGTTTTAACTTAACTTTAAATAATTCTGGTAGAATATTAAACAATCTTTGAATGAAAAGTGTGTCAACCTTAAAATAGACGATTATAAACTTGAAGTGTTTCAAAGCAACTCTTGTAACATGTTGATGTGGAAAATGTTACAGTGTTTTTAGTTTTGATAATGTTAAAATTATTTCATGTTATTTTTATTTTATTTTGTTTTGTTTTCTTTGTTTTTGTTTTCCTTTTTAGTATGAGTAAGTGAGTGAACTATTTGTCTGCACAGCAAGACTCAAAGAATTAATGGAACAAGCCACAAGGTTTTATCCTGACAGCTTTCTTGAACTTGAGACTTGAAAAGTGTGAGCATATAATGTTGCCTTGTATTGCCCTAAATTTTGTTGCAAATGGCCTCTCACATCAAGAAGAGAGAAGATTAGAGGACCACTTGCCCTAGCTATTGTAACATTTATTTTTATAGCTAGGAAACTTTAACGAAGTTGATGTAGGTAATAATTTGTATTGTAAGGATGAAGCAAGATAGGACTGAGATAGCAAGGCAGTAGGATAGCCTTAAGATATTATTTTTGGTTAAAAAAATCATTCCTTTAGACTTCGCATTTTTTTACTTTGCCGATGACATGGCAAATGCTGTTACGAAGAGGCTGTCACACTGTAGTCCACATGACTGACTCTCTAACAACATTTCCCATGTCATCACGATACTAAAAATTTGAACTAACATCTCGTCCACCTTGATGGTGCTTAATTCTAAATATCATTGGTTTGATTAGTGATCCTTCTTAATGTTAGGAAAAAAAACTTGTACTAGCTATCTACTGAATAACGCTGTCAGCTTGAAACATGATTGTTGTTTTCTACTTGGCATAGGAGTATTACGAATAGCTAGCTGCATTCTGCATACACTTATAATGCTGTATTTGCCTGGTTATATGTTATTGTTCATTCATCTTCAAAAATAAAAGGGTTCTGTAAAGATTTCTCCTAAGCCAATGAGAAAGCAACACCATGTTTTCCAAATGATTGTATGTAAATGTTGAAATAGGCATAGAACTCAAGGAGTTTTTCCTGTAAATCTTACCATTAAATTATATTGGATGGATAAAAATGAATAAAGCCATTAAAAAAGTCAACAAGATTGTTTTCATTGGGGTCTTTTTAGCATATTTTGGTATTACTGTTATGGGATTGAGACTTGAATGTTTTCAAAAGCATTACTATGCACAAAAGAACTACAGCCAGATGTTTTGACTCGGGGAGTCTGTATTTTCAAAAAGTAACTATTTCAATTATTCATATAGTCTTTATTTATAGAATTCAAATGGAACACTAAACCGTAGAGGAAATATGCATGCCGTAAAAAATGTTTTTTAAAATTTTGTGGCATTTATGATTTCCTCCAAATGCAAAGCTGAATAGGAGTAAAATGGTTGAATGATTTTGTAAACATCAAGTATCCAACTGTGAAGGTGAGAAATAATGATATGTAATTTAGAGCACTTAAATATTGCCAAAGGTTATTGGACATTTAAGATATGCACATGTCTTTAGTCATGCCCTGCTCACTGCCACTCTTAGTAGCGACAGTACTTTATAATTGTATTTTTTTGTGCTGTGCTATCATGCATATTGAATGACTATTATGATAATCCTTTCTGTTGAATGAATGTAATTGCTTATTCAAGTTATAGTTGTGTCAGTACAAAAAAAAGATTATTCTTTGTGCAAGTAATGCAATTTATGCAAACCCAGATGCTTTTGAAACAAAAAATTTGCATGTGGTTAAGCCTATTAGTTCTTTTTTGCTAATATTGCATTAAGACACCAAAAGAAGAAATCAATAATGCTGCCAAGAGCTTTTGTATTGAAAAAACCCAGTAACTGTTAACAGGATTTGTTAAATGAGCCATTATGATATGTGTTAACCAGCTTATCCATAGATTATTGCCAAACATTTAAAAAAATMTGTTCAATTGGATCATTGGTTGGTCATGCCTCATGTGTAATAACTTTGTTGACGAGAGCAAAGTATTTATGATTTATTCTAAAGGAATATTTGTAAACAAATTAAACTTTATAAATAATAATAATGATTTTTAATTCTTGAATTATGTTACTTAATGTTTCTGTTGTGTTATATATATATATATATATTTATTTAAAATAATGACAATAGTTACATACTAATTTTCTATAACATGCTAGAATATAAAAGTCAATTAACAACTGAATTAAGATTAATAATCCTTAAAATAATACACTCTGAATACCAGACAACAAAAATATTATAAACTTTTTAAAATGCATATGACACCTAATTCAAAATTTATAGCATTGATTCGAAATGATTCGAAATATTCTTATATGGTTTGAATGATGCATCTTGGAGATATCAAGGTTTATACTCCCAATATGTTAATGATGTGAAGCCAAAAGTTTTTTTCTTTTTGATTAAATATATTTTTTCATGTTTTCCTAATAATTTATTCTACTCATCACAGTAACACTGGTAATAATGAATAGCTTTCTTTCTAAAGAATAACAGACAACTATTAGGTCACTTTTCTCAAATCTATATGATTAGATCTTGTTAATAATTTTTAAATATTTAAACACAAGAAATACTTTCCACCAATGAGAGGTGAATAATATTATTGAAATGCTTTCTTTAATTTCTTACGATTTAGAATTTGATTTTGTTTTAAAAATTGTTGTTCTAGAGTGGCAAACTAGTAATTCATAATTCATTCATTTGGATTATTTTGTTTTTAGTTGAATATTTGAAGAAAAAAAAAAAAATTCAGTGGCTGTTCTATGGTGAGGAAATCAATTCATCAGATTAACCTGTAGTCTATAGAGACAGATTTTAAAAAAGGGAGTTCAAACTGTCTGTAATGATGCAAAATAATAGGATTTAAAGATTTCCAAATATCTTGAAGAGTTGGTGTTGGTATTTTTTCAAAGATTTGAGCTTGAGAAAATTTGTTAATTAAGCTGACATTTAGAATAATAGATATATAAAGTTATCAAGCAAACTATTATTCCTCCTATACAGCACTTGTAAAGTTCTTGCTTTTTGAACAATTTATGAAGATGTGACCCTCTACTCAACTAAGGGCAGACTCCTCATTGTCTCAAAAAGGTTTCTAGGGATTTTGACCATCCTTTTCAGCTTAGAAAGCGAAGGTCAATTGATAGTTGAAGACTTAAGAATATTACATTTAACCTTATTTCCTGTGTTTAGCCTTTAGGAGAGAATGATGCCTGTTGAAGCTATTGAGGGGTTAAGGGTTAAATTAAGTTGCTTTGTTGAGGCCCCTAAGGGCGAGGTTATTGCTTTGTTGAATAACGTTGAAAGCAGAAACTAAACAAACAAATGCACCATTCTCAATGACGCTATGATAAGAAGAGATTATGAAGGAAGTCAAAAAAAACAACAACAATCACTTTGTTAAAGAGGGGAAAAAAGTTCTTTGGCGACAGACGCAAAACAATAGACGCAAAACAATAGCAAAAGAGCCGCAAACAATAGAAGTTTAGTTGCTAAAAATAAAGCATATATTAAACTAATACTGTTGCTGAAATCATTGCTTACCTTCATTTTAGATCTTTATTCTGCTTTATAGCATTTAAAAAATATTTTGACATGAAAGGTGCAAAACCTGAAGCCCTTTGGGCGCGTTCCCGCCCTCTTGGTCAGACCCGAGCATTATCCGATTAATTATCGACTATGTTTTATCCTTTAATTTTTATCGTGATATATTCGTAGCAAATTCGTAAATAAAATTTAAGTCGATTTTTTATCGCATTTATTTTCGTACGACGATAAATGCAAATTTATTAGATACGTGAGTCTGCATATTCAGTGAACAGCGTTGTTCCAAGAGAATCAAGATGGCGGCTGAGCAGAAGAGAAGTGGCTGCAAGCTTTTTATCAGACATTTGCCGAGTATTTTGAGTAATGATGACAAAACAGATTTACTGAAACACTTTGGAGCTACAGATGTGATTTGTATGGGGAGAAGCAGCAAAATGGTAAGTCTAATTTTGATTTTTGCTTTTGAAGTCTTGGAGAAATAGTCCCAGGATTTTGACTAAAAATGGCCTCAATCCAAAATGCATGTGGGCAAACTTCTATGAAATTATAATTCATTATCGTATTTTTCCAAGAATTCTTGGTTATTTAGAGTATTTTAATGTAATGTAAAGGTATCTGTATTTAGTCGTAGCAACACAGGGAACCCATGACTTTATTGTGTTAAGTTTAACAAAAAAGCCCTTTTTTGTCTTCTAATTTATTTTAGGGTCATAATTTAATTCATTTTCTTTTGTGAAATAAGTTTACTGTGGACGATCCCTAATATACATAAGTAATAGAATATTTAGCAATTAGTCCTCCAGCCCGAAATGTAAGGCGAGAGGACTATTTGTTTTAGTCAAATCCAACTAGTCGGTCAAATATATAGATGCAAACATTTGAATTAAAGTAAAAAAATAATGTTTTGGTTTTCAAAGCTGGCATTTTTTGCTTCTAGTAGGATATAACTTATAGCCTAGTAGTAGCTCATCCAATCAGAATATAGCATTATAAATGGTATATCACTAGTTGGATTTGACTTATGTATAATAATTATTTTTGCAAAGGTTTTGAATTCTGAGAATGACTAACATAAATGACTATGCCTTCAGGCTTTTTTGTATATAATATTTAATATTCTTTTTTTCAATTTAAAGCTCATAGTAACATTTTCTCTAAAAAACAACAATAAAAAAATCCTTTCAATGTAGTGATCAGAGATTTTTCTTTACCAGTATTCAAAAAACATTAATAATTATTGCAATCACTCACCAATATTGTGTCTAATGCAGCTTTTTTCTATGGCTATAAATAACCCTACTTCAAAATCCTTGATTTATGCAGCTCTAACCAGAATATTATAAAGAGAGAAAAAAAAGGAAATAAGTCAAATCAAATCAACGAATATCATGTTTCCTCAAAGATTATATTTATTTGCCTCAATATTGTGGTAGTTAGGTGGACTGCTCATGAAAAACCTTATTGAAAAAATTCTATAAAATTAATTTCTTTTTGATTTTTTTTTTTCATGTTTATTTTTATTGGGCAGGATGGGTTGCCTAGTGGTAGGAGTGAGTGCTTCTCACCAATGCAACTGGGTTTTGATTCACAGACTCAGTGTCTCATATGAGATGAGTTGCTAGTTAATTTTCATTCTCTCCTGTGCACTGGGAGGGTTTAGTTCTGGGCTCTCTGGTTTTCTACCCTGATCCACGAAAATCAACTTCTAAATAGGATTTTCCATTGATGGCATCACAATTGTGCATCATGGATCAAAATTCAGACAAGCCCAGCGCAAATGCTAACATGCTGCAACAGTGTTTTGTAGTCTTATTGTTTCTAATTCATTGAAGAGCTATGGTTTTTCCCAGGGGGGGGGAGGGGGTACTCTTGCCCGTTTAGGGTAGGGATGTGCCGCTGAGCCCACTGAACCCTGACCCTGTTCCAGAGTAAAATCGCTGAAATTCATACCCTGTTACAGAGCAAGATTGCTGAAAACTATACTCTGTTCCGGTATCAAGAAAAATAGTTACCCCGTTCCAGAGAGGAGAGTGCGTCATTTCATATACCCTGTTCTAGGGCGAGCGTGATTTTATATACCCTGTTCCAGAGTAGAATCACTGAAAACCATGTTTGGCGGCACATACCCGTATAGCGAATATAGGGGAGTTCCCCCTTCCCCCGGTGGTTTTTCCACTGACATTGTTATTCTTCTCCATGTAATCAAAGCTTTTATTTTTAATGTTTGTCCGAATTTCGTCCTGACAAGGCTTTGTGATATCTATTTTTAATAACTGTGAAAAATGCTATTGCAATATTCAATCATATAACGAGGGCCACAGGTTTGTACTGGCATTTAAGTACTATACTTGTAAAACCATGGGGCATGTCCACATGGACTATGAGTCTATCCATGCTCTGTTGAAGCTATTAAATAATAAAAAAATAAAATAAAACAAGGACTATTCCTTATGATATAATTGTCTATAGATCATTATTTTTTTTGGTTCTTTCTTCCTTCCCTTTTTTCTTTTCATTCATCCTTCCATCCATCCATTTATTTATTCATTTCTTCATTTATTTTCCTTCTTTCTTTGCCAAGAAATAGAGTGGATCATTTTTCCAACTTTCAGTAAATAAAAATACTAACTAAAATTCAACCCAGCATCTGTAGCACCTGCTCCAAACTCAATTTTAATACTTACTACCCCACGCTGCTTTGTGATATGCTAGAAAAACAAAAATAGCATAACTGTCAAAGAAATGGAGTCTATATGTCTGAGAGTTTTCAATCTACATAGTTTGTAGACTAAAAGGAACTTGATCTGCTTCATAATAGCATTAATAAGTGTAGTCTGGCAATTACTGTCAACATAGACATTTTAATTAATAATACTTTGTAATGAAACGAATAAAGAAAACTGATCATAATGATAAAAAAATAGCATGAAAGATGAGAAAATATTAAAGAGGACATTACTTAATATGAAAGCAGTTTGATTGTGGAAAAAAAGTGACCTTATAAAAAATAATTTAAAAAACAACCCAAACAAAATTGAAATGGGAAAATTCGAAGGATATTTACTGTTTATTTTTTACAATTTTTTAGTTATAGAATAAAATTGATTATTTCAAGATCTCTCAACAAATTAATGAAGTGTGGTACTAGTCTAGAGCTATCCATATATATATACATCCGTAATTTTATTGTTATTATACCATCACTATTAATCTATTACAAAATGTTTTATTGATTTTATTTATATTTAGAAATGAAATATTAATCTCAGCCATATATAAGCATTAGTTATTAAAATGTCACAGCACCGTTATTTTTTTTCCATGTTGAATCCAGTTTTAATGATCGAGAAGAATAACCATATGAGTTAGTTTTAGTATTTCCGAACTTGTTACAGCTCAATAAAAATGAACCTTTAGATTAAATTCGCTAAATATAGAAATACAGTACTGCTTCTGAAACATCCCGCAAATTCTTCTCGCACACTCACTGATTGCCCGCCATGTGCATTGATAAACATATAGACACTATTTCAATCAAAATGTGTTAGAGACATGTCACTTCTTCTTTTTCCTTCATGCAAGGCAGGTGTTGCTGTCATTGTGATAAAATAATATATATGCTACATTTTTTTAAACATAGTGAGAAAATCTTACCATTGGTTATTAGTGCGAAAAAGAATTGACAGTGCTGTAGTGTATATTGGCAGCCTGACTGAAAGATCAGTCATAAAATGAAAGACAACTTGTCATCGGATCAAAGTAAAATAAATAGATAATGACACCATGACAGCCATCATGGGGTGGTATGAGCTCTCATCATTTATTTAGATCAGCGACTAATCGTTTAGATTTTTTGATTAGTTTTTTTCCTTGCATGTTTCTCAAAGCCCCGCCCTTTTACCTGAGCAAAAAAACTGTGCAAAGTAAGACACAGTTTTTTGAGTGCCATTGAGCTACTGGAAATGGCACTATATAAATACCAATAATAATAATATTATTATTWTTTTTTTTTAAGTAACTCTATGGTGGATAAATATGACTAACATTAAAATTCCTTACTGTTTACACTATTTATTCAAACAACAGAAGGACTCTGCTTTTGCAGAATTTGCTGACGAAACCGCAGCCAATAAGGTACATTGTTTATGTATTTTTTCCCCCTGAAAAATACTTGCAACTTTTAAGGCTGTTTCTCTCTTATTTTGCTTTCTTTGTGCTTGGGATCCCTGTGTGGTCTCATCAATTGACCCACCACAGGTAGCCCAGGGGTTCAGCACACATGGATTGGCAGAACACAAGAGAAGTGTTAGGAGAAGCATAGTGGAGTGCTTCTGGACACTTCTTGAGTGTTCAGCCAATCCCCAAGTGCTTTATAACTTCACATGGCACAGTCAGCAACTTATTTATTTTTTAAACAAAACACAAATTAGAGTAGCCATTATTTTGGATATGAAAGACAAAATAGAAAGTATGCATGCATGCTGTGTGCTCTCATAATGCACAAGCTTCTAACCAATCAGAACAAGATTTATAAATAGTTATTTTAATATGATTTATTTGAAGTCATAATTCATTTTCTTATTTCAACTATTGATATAGGCTTTGAATAGACTTCACCAAGTTGAAATCCTTGGATCAAGATTAGTTGTAGAATATGCAAAGAAATACCATGAAAGACTCTCAGCTCAAAATTCCCACAGGTATTGTTAATCGTGTTTGTGTTTTATAGTTTTTCTACAACTCAGTCTCTGATTTTGTAAAATACCTCAAGAAACACCAGCCCAGAAAACCAGATAACACAAAGGTTTATCAGAGAAAGTAGTTAGAGTACAACCTTTTGCAATAGACTAGCCCTCCAGTCTTCAATAATGGTGTCCTCATTTGGATTTCATGTTTTTTACATTTCCACTCTCAATGTAAACCTTGAAGATGATGATGTACGATTTCAGGGTTCTATCTGTGAGTTAGCCATGCCCTGACTTAGATCAGCCCAGAGGTTGTTTTAGTGTTTGATCTGTGAGTTAGCCATGCCCTGACTTAGATCAGCCCAGAGGTTGTTTCAGTGTTTGATCTGTGAGTTAGCCATGCCCTGACTTAGATCAGCCCAGAGGTTCAGTTTCAGGGTTTGATCTGTGAGTTAGCCTAACTTAGAGGTTGTCTCAAGGTAACAATAAAATGAAAGATGATTAAAACCAAGTGCCTGCATTTAGAATGTCACCCAAAAAAGAAGAAGAAGACAACACTACTGAAGAAAGTGAGAAAACACATATTTTACAAGAAAAAGGAGAGGACATGAAAAAAGAGAAAGTTAGTGGGATTGCACCTAAACTAGGGTAAGGACCATATTTTACTTACAAAAAGCATGGTTGGTGCATGTATGGCTAAATCCCTGTTTTGTCGCTGCTGTGTTGATGGGTTATTACTTTAGCCTGTTGTATGACACACTTGTTCTGGTACAGTACAGTACCTGTAGTCATGAGTAAGCCATTACGCACAATTTTTATCATTGAACTTTTGAAATTAATACTTTGTAATAATAAATGAAGTGCTAAAATGTACAACAAATGCACAACATACACAATGTACAATGTACAACAAAAATGAAAGCGGTTATAGCTGCCTTTCACAAATAAGCACTATGATTGTGTAGTACTGTTTCATGGCTAAATAGTTTTTTATACTCTACCTGGCCAAGGACTCCAAAGTAATATAGTTTTTATTGTTTTAATTTTTTTTTGCAGTATAAAGTATCCATCAAATCCTAACCTTTCCTACTTGTACCCATCACCTAATGCAACAATACTTACAAACATTGCTCATACTTTGGCTTGTGTGCCCAAGTTCTATGTGCAGGTAAAGAACTGAACAATTATAGTTAATTGAACAGACTCTTGTGAGGCGTGTGGTTGGGGGAGGGGGAAGGTGGAGGGGGAAGGGCGGGATGTGGGGAAGGGGATGTGGGGAAGGGGATGTGGGGAAGTGGAGGGGGAAGGGGGATGTAGAGAGAGGGTGTGGGGAAGTGGAGGGGGATTTACTTTAACCTCTTTTTGTTTTCTCTGCGCAAGAATAATGACCTCCTCTGACTAATCCTTTATGAACTGCTGTATGATGATACCATATTTGTTACTAGGAAATGATATGCCCTCATCTTGAAAGCTTGCTATATGTTTTGTATCTTCTATGAAAACAGCATCTTTTTTTATTTATTTCAAGGTCCTTCACTTGATGAACAAGATGAACTTACCAGCACCTTTTGGTCCTGTTACTCCAACTCCACCCAATGTAAGTAACGCCAACTACAATGTATACATTCATTATCAGTTTTCCTCCCTCCTGCAAGTTTGCTGTGACCCGACTTAGACCAGTCCAGAGGTTGTTTAAGGGCTAGCTAAAATCCAAAATCTTTTCTTCATCTTAAAGTTGAGCTTATGTTACCCATGTTGACATCTCATCAGGTTAGAGAAATGCACCCAAGTGAGAATATAGAATCTAGTGAAGAGTCAGAGATGGAGAGTGATGAAGAAGAGAATAAAAAGAGGTAACCAATATCCCAATGTTATAGCTGATTATTATCTGTAAGCAATTATTTTTTAGAATCAATTTTTAACTACCAGAAATTTTGTAATGATTATAATATTGTAAACGTTTCTAGATCTAGGATTAAGGAACACTCATTGCCTAAGAAACCAGAGACAAACACAAAAAAGCGTGTCAAACTAAAGGCCACCAAAGGTCCGTTACCCAAGAAGCCCAAACCATCACATTCCTACAAACAAGAATCAATAGAAGCAGTATTTGAGCAACCGTCTCACCAGACACGCAAGATAGAGTTCAACCTGACAGACTCTATCACCTCTATCTTTGATGCAGCACCCCCTCAACTTGAACCAGTCAGCCAATCAAAGGAAGAGGAGCCAAGTATGGAGGGATTTGGGAAATTTGCTCCCCAAGCAGAACCAATTGCTATGGATACCAATGAAGATGAAGAAGAAACCACTTTAAGGGATGAGAGTGACGAGTTTATTTCACAAAAAGAATTAGATTCCAATAGGATGAGTAAAAAGGGTTAGTAATGGGATTCTTATTTATTTATGATGATGATTCCTTGAGTGCATTATTCCAGAAAGAAAACATAACTGAGGGTATAGGTGTGATGTTTTATGGATGTTAAAGGGAGGTGCGGTTTAAGGAGAACATGTTCTGATAGTTACTTTTGTTATGGGACCTCCTCAATGAGTGGGTCTACCCTTTGCCACATAGTGATGAGGGTATGGATATATCCTGGATGACATAATGAATGAATGAGAAAATGACGGATGGAAGAAGGATTAATTACTGATTGATGGATTGATTGGAGGGAGGGAGGGATAAATAGATAGGAGGAATAAATGGACGGAGGAGGAATAGATGATTGAATGAATGCTTGGATGAATATGAATGAGGGAAAAATGTGATGGCTATTCATTGTCCAATTCTCAAAATATGTAACACTTTATGAGCCATGGGGGGGACAGAGGAGAGACCAGACAGCCTTCATAAAACCTCACTTTGAATTAAAAGCCCAACAAATATATACATTAGAATATTATAGAATTATAGAATATTTGTGATACGTCTCTTTTACAGAACTTAGTTCCTTGTCGGCACTTAAGAAGTATTCCTCTGGAGATCCCACTACCAGGTTGTATGTGAAAAACCTTGCTAAGCACGTTGAAGACAAGGTACTGCTATTAATCCCAGTAATGTTTTCCCATTTCAGACCATGGGTCATTCTCTTGAGAAAAATATTTTTTGTTCTCAGTTTGACCTGTATCCATATTCATCTGTCTTCTCATGCACAACCGTTAAACAAAGAAATGATACTCTAGGGAATGACACAAGGCCTGAAATGAGAAAACAATACACCTACAGTATAGAGGTYTATAGGCAATCCAGATGTTCCTTAAAGGCATAGACCTACATTAGAGTGCTTTAGTTAACAATTAATAAGAAAGCTATGGTTACAACTGGTGCGGTAACTTACAAAATAAATAAAGTGCTGAGGAATTGTGGGTGTGGTAGTGCCTAGTAGATATTTTGCAAACATTATTCTATAATTACTTATATTATTTTATTATTATGCTAACATTAGAGTGTTCACACTAAATCCGTGAAACAAATACTAATTTTTAGCACTAATTAATAGTGATAATTAAACAATAGAAAACCAAGTACTATTTAATGTTCACGGTTTTAGTGCATGCACTCTATAGTGATTCAATTAATCACATAAGTTAAATTTCGAATTTTTCTTTAGGATCTTCATTACATATTTGGTCGGTATGTTGATTTTACATTAGAAGATGAAAAAGACAGGTAAGAGTGTAATTAAATTTTGTCTTCTTTAATATTGACTATAAATTAGTTCATATGGAACTAGGAGAAGCTCTTAGCATGGGTGGTCCAGCACCATTTGCAACAAGTTTCATAAACGGTTTAAAAAACAATAGATAAAATGACAAGAGATCAGTCTTCGAAACAATTAAATTTTCCTAACAAAAGTGGCGCTTTACTATGGGGCAATCAAAATTTAGGTTCCAAATGGTGTAGCTATGCTGCTTAGCGTACTCAATAGATACATGAAGGCCATAGCCACCACTTGGATAGTGGTCCAGTTTTAAAAAAAGGTGGTCACTGTTTTTCTATTTACTCGTGAAATAAAATTAATATTTTCTATGAGGGGAAAAAATGGTTCTGAATGTAAAAAAGTTGTGTGGTTAAAACCGGACCAACCATAATGGTGACTATGGCCCTTGGATAGTGGWCCAGTTTTAAGAAAAGGTGGTTCTGTTTTTCTATTTGCTTGTGAAATAAAATTAATATTTTCTATGAGGGGAAAAAATGGTTCTGAATGTAAAAAAGTTGTGTGGTTAAAACCGGACCAACCATAATGGTGACTATGGCCCTTGGATAGTGGWCCAGTTTTAAGAAAAGGTGGTTCTGTTTTTCTATTTGCTTGTGAAATAAAATTAATATTTTCTATGAGGGGAAAAAATGTTCAGACCAACCATAATGGTGACTACGGCCCTAAGGCACATTAATCCATCAATTGTGTTGATTTTTACAGTGTTAGGCTACCTGTGTTTCACTTTCCTTCAAAAGAAATTCACTTACCATTTTTCTCCATTTCCAGGTTTGACATCCGTCTCATGAAGGAAGGAAGAATGAAAGGACAAGCCTTCATCACACTACCATCAGAAAACAAGGCCAAAAGGGCTCTTGAAGAAGTACATGGTTATATTCTGCATGGCAAACCTATGGTCATTGTATCCTTTTTCATGTCAATAGCAACTTCAATGAATATAAAAAATAGGATGAATTTTGGTATGAAACACAAATAATGTCTGCTATTCTTGAACAGCTGCCATCTTGGTTGGTCTAAGAGAGAGGATGAGGATGGCTTTGTTATTTTTAACTAATGTGGTGGCTATGATGTAACATGCAACTCCAAAATACATCACCTTTCGCATGGTTCATGCCAATCATTTATTTATATATATATATATATGAGTCGGTAATGGCACTGTCCCATTTTTCAGATTGTTTAATTTTGTTTTTGGAACAAAAACCACAGATTTGTTAAGCTATGAATCTGGATGGGAGTAGTGTGCAGGGGGTGCTGAATGGATGGGACATGGATATCCTGAAGATGAATAAAAGGGAAAACAATTGAGTAATAACAACAATTTTACATTTGCTAGAGATAAGGAGGTGATATGGAAATTTCAATTATGTGTAAATTTATTTATTATATTATTTCAGTTCAAAAAAAATTAAAGTGATGATTTCTTGTGATCTTATCATCAAATATTTTCCTTAACACATATCTCAGCAATTTGCTCGATCAGCCAAGGCAAAAGAAACCAGTTGACCAAATATCACAGCACAGGTACTAACTAGCCTGCATAGCAGCTCTCTGGGACAGGGCAGAAAAACGACTAATCCACTACTTTCACTATTTTTTTATTTAACTGAGTTTAATACTCCAAATTTTTAAGCGTTTCATTGGTGTCACTGCTGCTCGAAACTTGTGACGAAATTTTGTCGAATTAGAGTAAATCTACTTGTATATTAGTATTCACAAAAATGTCAGTTTTTCTGCTGATCAAAATATCACCTCTCCCAAAGTACACGGCTTTATATCTCAAATACGCATTGGTCGCATTTGATGTTTTGCTATTTGGCTCCAAAAGAACGTGTTAACAAAATATTGAGCTTAAATACATAAAGCTGTCCATAAGGCGAAAGGCCAAAAACCGTTTTTCTGTCCTGTAGCTCTCTGGATGAAGAGATACTTCTCTCTTACCCATTCTGTCTCACCCAGAGAGCCTTCACGCATGATACACAGGTACTAGTAAAATATAGAGAGATCAGTATTTGGGGGGAAAAAACACAGAAAGAAAGGAAACAAAAAAGGAAAATGGAAAATGAAAAATAAACAATTATAAAACAAACTATTATGAGATTCTTTATTTATTACATTCATAATTTGCACCCTTTGAAATACTCTGCTTATTTAAGAATCTAAACATGGCTGCAAAGTAAGTTTTAATAAGGGCTAAAAAATGTTTTACTCATACAAAAAGACCTTAAAAACTTTGAAACCTTTTAGGCAGTGTTGTTTTGAAGATTGCTATTACTAATATCCTTGTTTTCTTTGCTTTTATTTTAATTATTTTATCTGCAAAATTTATAATTAATATTGCTAGGATCTTAAAATCAGGGCTTAAAATACAGCTGGTCATGATAACTGGCCAAATTAGTTTCACCTCTGTCATACCATGTTACTGGTCAAAATGGCTGGCAAAGCAAAAATTTGACCAGATAAGTTCCATTTCATGGTGGACATTGTCTGATGTCTGGCCATTATTTTAAGCCCAGCAAATATTTCAAATTTTCAAAAGCAGCAAGCAAACAATGGCAGCCATATTTGGATTCAGTCTTGGTGATTCAAGCGAAACAAAAATATTAGACCTAGAAATATATCTTTCTATCACACAATCAAATCTAAAATAAATTCTATCTTATATTAATCTCTTATCTTATTCATTAAATAGTAATCATATTATATTACACACCTCCTAATATGTTCATAATATTACATATATTACACACCTCATAATGTTTATGATATATATTTTGATTTTTAATTAGCCTCTTGGGTCCCTCTTGGGTCCCTCTTGGGTCCCTCTTGGGCTGATCAAAATCTGAGCATGATGAACTCGCCATTAAACTAAAAATTAGTTGGGTTTTGCAAAGGGAGGAAAACAGGAGAAACCAGAAAAAAGCTTGTGATGCCGAGTCCAGGAATCGAACCAGATACCCCAGAGGTGAGAGGCAAGTGCACTACCACTACACCTCCCTTGATTATAAATACATATCATTACTGCCCTGTGATTATATTCCCAATTTTTTATATAATAGTCAATGTATAAAAGACATTGTCTTATTTAAAAACTGGATAACCTTAATCTTACTATATCAACACTCAATAGGTCTTCCTGTCCAAATCAAATTAAATGGTCTAGGCCATAGTGAAAGGGGAGGGGAATGAATGACTTGGTTATCTCTAATAAAAATCTCTTTGTGACCAAATGCTATGGGGATGGTTGCTATGGGGATGGTTGCTATGAGGATGGTTGCTATGAGGATGGTTGCTATGGGGATGGATACTATGGTAGGATCTTTTATGCTATATGGTTTGTTTTTGTTTTGTTTTTCTGGCCCTTTCTGGTTTGAGATTTGTCATTGGTGTATGTTTACTTACTGCAACCAGGATTGATATGTTCTATGATTTTGTTTGTTCTCTCATTTATCTGTTTGTTGCTATGCATTGTTTGCCATGACATTGGTTGCTATGGCATTGGTTGAACTCAATTTCCATTTTGCGAAACAAAAGAGCATAGGATACTAAAACAGAACGATCTCTTTGCTGCACAGTGTGTACCGATCTATCTCTGACAGACTCTTTTTCCCAGTGTTCTTCTTGTTTTGTTCAGTTGTACTTTCAGTTGAACTTCCAGGTCTATCATTTGTGGTATACCTGTGGTTTTTGGAGGATGAGCTGTAGTTTGGTTTGGTCTTTGTTTCATCACTGTCTGGGTATTCTTTGGCATATTCAGGGGCTTTACCAAGAAAGATGATGCTGTTCAGGATCTTTAGGGTTAAAAGGCTGCAAGAAAGTCATTTTGCAACATCAGCAAACAATAAACTATAGGCAATCGTGACATAGTGCATTCATCCTTACTCTTTTCTCTTGATAATAAACTTTTCCCGAAATCGTGAGTTGACAATGACTCCAAGTCAAGTTGTACTTCATAAAAAACATGACAGCCATTGTTTAATATCATGGTCACTCAAGCGAATTCCAGAAAAGTTGATTATTTTAAACTGATGAGAAAGGTTCATTAATTTTGAGAAAGAAGCAATTGATAGATTACACGATACTTACAAAAAATATGTGGAGACAATGAGAGCCACACCTCCATTTCCATGGACATGAATGGAATGTGTGATAACTCGAATGACCTAATGAAGAATCCAGGACATTTGTTACAAACAGAAAGAAGGATTCATTCACACATTATTCCAGAGCCAAAGACAGGGTCTAAGAGACCTTGTAATTGCTTTTTCCACTGGGTACAAAAAGTGCCTGTGTTTTTTGGGAGGGGGGAGGGAAGGAATGATTTATTGAGGTAAACCCTTACCTTGGGAAAGATTTACTTTTGTGGGGATGCTGGGGACCCTAGAGAGCTTGTGATCACTCTTCCCATTGGGTACAAAAATTCTGCATGTATTTTTGGGGGAGGGGAGGGAGGATGGGTTTATTGATGTTTGTTGCAGGTGGATGTGACTTCGATTTGAACCCTGCATTGGGAAACATTTGCCAAGGCATCTGCCACAACATACCCATGTGTGTTTGGAATATTTGCTCCAGGATACCCTAGAGAATAATTTGTGCCAATTCATTCAGAGTATTGGGAAAGAGTCCTACTTACCAGAGCCCCAAGTGAAAGAGGAATGAATCCCATTCTCCTAGAAACCAAGTCAAAATGGTCTGCATGTGCCTGTGAGGTAGTAAACAACCTGTTAGTGCTAATAATAATAATTCTAATTGTGGAGAAACCAGGTACAAAGTTTAGTTACTCACATTTTTTTGTCTGCTAGAAATAGCATCTTTAGCCAGTCTTGATCTGTACTCTGTGTAAACCTAAAGAAAAGAATTTTAATTCAATGGTGTGACTAGATAAGTGATAATGATGATAACGATGATAATGATGATGATGGTGATAATGATGGTGATGATGATGATGATGAAGGTGGTGGTGGTGGTGATGATGATGATAGTGGTGGTGGTGGATATCAATACCTCTGGTGGGATATCATTGAACTTGGTAATAAAAGCATGTTTAACCCAGTCCACAAAGTACTCAGATGATACAGTAGCAAACAGGTAAGGTGCAATGACATAAAGGTGTTCTGTTAGGTAAAAAACAACAGTTGTTACAATTTAAGATGTTAGAATATAGGAGTTCACTAATTAAGCATTACAACTGCTTTCAAGCCTGTGCTTTAATCGAGACAAAAGTTACAACTTGTAAATGAAAAATAGGCCACTGTTAATTGAATCATGAGAGTGTGTAAAGGTACATGAAACCATGGAAATGATTTCTTTGATGTGATGACACTGCATTGAAAACAGTGGTAACATATTTTGATTTTCAACGAGCATGATGTTGAGGGATTAAGACAAATTATCAAAAGTTTTGGTAGAATAGAACAATCTTGGCTCTTACCCATGTTCCAGTTAAACTCTGTTAAATTTCGTAAGCATACAATGCTAACCAGTACTAGATAATGGAATCTTTCTCTTATATCTGAAAAAAATATTTAATTAGGGACTGGTCATAAAGTATAAGGGGGGGGGGGGGGCAAAATCAGGGGGTGGGTCACATAATTTTGAACTCCTTCAAAGGGGTGGGCTGTTGATAAAATTTGACAACTAAAAAGGGTGGGCCTGCAATTTTGCTTCTAATCCGGGGTTGGGTCATCACATTTTCAACATCATTTTATAATGGGACAAGATAAAAAAAAACACTGATTCTATTCTGATTTTGCTCCCCCCCCCCTATACTTTATGACCAGTCCCTTACATTGTAATAAGCTATAGTACAACTGGCTGTCTATCAAGCATTGATGGTGTTGCAATGTATGTCTAGGACAGTTCCAGAATTTTTTTGGGATGGGGTGCACTGTACATGATAAGGACTTTCATAAACTTAAGCACCAATGATGCTGTAGACATCAGCTCATCTAAAGGGGGCACACCCACTGCACCCCACCCCTATATCCACCCTTGTATATATATAATGAAAAAACAGCCTTTTATTCCTTCAAGTAGTTTTATGGGGTCCCTGTGGTATTTTTACAAGGATTGTGAAAGGCATAAGTCCCTTATATTTTCTAATCTTAGCTTCACTCATTTAAGGGTGCTTTATATTGTGGTCCATGTTGTATACGTAATACTGTACTTACCACTACAAGCCATCTGAAACAAGTTGTTCTTCTCGAACCTCTTGAAAACACTTCCTTTAAGTTCTACAAACTGAATAAACCATTTACATTTTTTATGTTATCTGAAACTATGCATTGAATGGTGCTTACAAGTATGCGCCCGCATAGCCTTCAAAGTCCATTATATGCTGTGCCTGAAACAGTTATATCAGTTCCCTCCCAATGGAGGTATTGATATTTGTATACTGGCTACATAGCCAATCATTACAGCTTACAGATGATATGCAATCTCTGGATAGTTGAGAATGTTTTCTTAATTAAAAGGCTCATCCGTGTCCATATATGTTGGCCTATAATATAATGCTTTTGTTATAACTAATAGATATACATGTTATATAGGCTGCTGTGTTTTCACTAGAAATGTTAACTTGCATAAAATTCCTGGAGGTGTTTTAATCCGACAACCACCTTTCAAGATAACACTGTGATTGGTAGGACAACTTAAACCATCTTGCTAGGTAGTTTAACTTTGCCTTATTTCCAGTGTCATAATTAAGCTAGTTTAAATTGTCCTAGTGAAAACACAGCCATAGTGCAATATTTTTATCTACTCACCTGATTAGAAACCATAATGACAAGTAAGGCTTTGTTATGTGAGTTAACAGCAACATTCAGACACGTTGCTTGGAACAATACCAGCACTGAATGCAAAACTGAATAGGATTTAAAGTTAAGGATGTAGCATTTATGACAACAGGGTTGAGACACTAGCAGTTCCATTTAGCTGACCTTCAAGTTTTATCAAACCTTGGAACAACCACAGCACCGATGAAATTCAGGGCATGGCTAACTGATGTTTAATCAAACCCTGGAAAAACCTCTGGCCTGATCTAAGTCAGGGTACGGCTAATTCACAGATCAAACCCTGAAACAACCTCTGGGCTGATCTAAGTCAGGCCATGGCTAACTCACAGATCAAACCCTGAAACAACCTATAATTTAAGTCTTTAAGTCAGGGTATGGCTAACTCATAGATCAAATCCTGAAACACCATCTGGACTGATCTAAGTCAGGGCACGGCTAATTCACAGATAGAATTGGAATTTAGCAGGTTGTTTGAGTAGTCTAACTGATGAGAAATGGAGATACAGGTAGCCCAGTAATATAAATGGAAATAAAGGATACAGACATAAATAACACCTAAAGCGAAGTGAGGTAGAGTTCCAACATGTTCTCTTTTTCTGTCACGAGGCTCTGTTGCTGTCCAAAATAATGCATCTAAAACATCTTGTCCAAAAGAGGAGCAAAGCCGATCTGCAACCTAGAAACAATATTAGTTTTATACATCAACAAGGCTTATATGTTAATCTGAATCTCAATATTTTAGTCTTGTATTTCACAGGGGGTTGGGGTGGGGCGAGAGGACTAAGATGACCAAAGGACCACCTAAGTATATACACCGACTTGCAAGAACGTTGTCATACAAAAATAGAACATTAGTGATTTAGTGGAATAGGAATTATATTAAAAAACAAAAGAAGATCACTGAAGCTGAACTTTTTCTTTTGTATTTTAATGTATTCCTTTCTCACTAAATCACTAATGTTCTAATATCGTATGTCAACGTTCTTGCAAGTAGGTGTATATACCTTTATAGCTAATGATCTTTTATCATCATTATGATCATCGCATAGGGTACATAAGGCCATAATAATAATGTATCAATATAATTAAGTAATGATAATAACGTGGACATACCTCTAACATGTTGTAAATAACATATAGCTTGATAACAGACTGTCCACGTACAGTGTGATAAAGCACAGAGAAATCAACATTCTCCAAGAAGATAAACACTATGACTATAATTGAAGCTGAAACCAAAAATATAAGACAATTTCAAGTGAGGTTGCTGTTATTTACTAAAGCATCAACTAGCATTTTCTTTCTATTTTACATTATTTTTGTCCATATTATTTGTTCACTACAAAGGGGGTGGCTAGCCATCCAATCCACCCCACGGGACCTGCCCTTGCAGGTTGTCATAATAAAAGTTAAATCAAAGATTTAAAAAAAACTACTAATACTTTAAAAATAGGAAAAACCCTTGCATCAAATCACAATCTTGGAGGCAAAATAATATGTTTTCCCTTGGAAAGTGATGATATTCATCATGGATATTTTTTCCTGTAAATTTGCAAGACCCTAATTTGGTTTGACTCACCTTTTAACACATCACATATTTGTGCTGGCTCAAGCAGTCTTGTTCTATAAATGAACAACAATCTTAGCTACAGGTGTACATAAGATCARTGTTTATAATGAAACTATTCAATTCAAAATATAATCATCGTGAATCATTAAAAGGCTAATATTCTTACTTTTTACAACAGAAGAATCCAGAGACTAATTTCCACATGGCGACGAGAACACGAACAGGAAGAAATGTAAACATGAACAGGAAACAATCCAGACAAAGCATGAACCCAAATATCATGAGCTATAAATAGAAATAGAAATAGCATTATTCAAACAATGAATTCAGTAAAAGCAAAGACAACGTGCTTTAAAAAAGAATCCCTTTGCCTTGCCAGTCATTTTGACTAGTAACCTTGAGCCAGAAACAAGGTATGACCTAGCTGAAGTTAATGGACTACTTTGAGGGTACGGCAACCATCTTGCCAGGGGGCAAAACAAAACAAAGATGACAAAAAATATGTAGTATTTTGTGTACTTATCTTTATTTTATGGTTAAAGATGATGGGTGCCATCTTAGTTTAACTTTTGTTAAACTAAGATGTGGTGAGCTGTCATTGATGGATATCATCACTACTGTAACATAGCTTTATTTGCTCCCTGGACACCCCATAATGCCTTGATCCAAGGTGGCCACCATACTGTCAAAGTAGTCCATTTGGCTGATCATCATGACCGGCAACTGACCAACATTTCTGGTAAGCCCTTCATATATGTTCCCCTTATTAAGGAAGTATGATATGATGGGTAAATGCCTGACTTACAGAAAATCAGTAGCATCACTTTAATCCAATGGACAGACAGACAGACAGACAGACTTATTGAGACTCTTCATTGGTATGTTTGTTTGTTCGTATTACCTTTTCCACTTCCTTGGGGATCTTCATACAGGTGTAAATCTTTTTTCTCTTGTCAGCATAACGATCCTCATCAAGCTCCAAAACATATCCTCGTGATATTTCTGCCAAGAAATACTTCAGCACAGAAAATCCTGTAAATGCATTAAAATTAATTCATCTGATTTTCAATGCTGACAAATGATTTTTATAAGTGAGAACCATCATATAGTCAAAAAAATTTTGAGCTTAAAAAATTAATGACCAGAAGTATTTAATACGCATAAATCTGACCTCAGTTAACAATTAAATCATTTCATACAAGTTTTACATACTTTTTGGGCTAGTTTCTTGGTCTGTAGGGTGTCCATGATCAACATTACTAAAGATAATCTCTTCCTCAGCGAGTTCTGTTCTGCCAGTATCTGCCGTGCCATGGTCATTCATAGTATCTTTAGTTTGGTCTCTCGGCTGATCCGTAGGAATCTCCTCTATATTTTGAATCTTCTCAGTTACGTTTCGATGTCTGAATTCTGTTCCTTCGGGGTGTAAATCAGCTGGAGGGTGTGTCGACATTTCAGACTCCACACTTTCATGTGCAAATGATAATTCTTCACGACTGTCTTCATTAGCATCGTCTTTATCTTCTGTATTCTCAACCTTCTCTACCTCAAGATCTTCTTCCTTGACCTCAGCACTTCTGTTCTCTTCGGTAGGAACTACCAATTCCTGGAAAAGTTCTTCGTCGTTCTTCTCTTTCACATTTTCAAATAAAATTGCCACTTCGTCTTCAGTTGTTTTTGTTTGTTTTTCATCAACACAGCTCTCTTTCTTCGCAATATCTCCTTGAAATTCTCCACCAGTTGCTTCACTATTGTCTTCGCAATTACTCTTGGGGTATTTGAGGTCAGTCTCTAAGGATTTGTCTTGATCAGACACCATTTTTTCAACACATTTTATTTCTTCCACGTCGTCCGCCATATTTGTTTGTTTTCTCAGACTTATGGTAGCACGCATATGTTTTTGGGCGAAACAGCTGTACAAATTCTCAGGCGCATAAATATATATCACTCATTTTGATTGGCTGCAATGACAAAGAGAACAAATAACCCAATAGGAACGCGTTATAGAAATTATTAGTTCCCAGTTTTCTCGTGCAGTTTCCATGACACTTTTTCACTTGTATACTACAATGTACAGACGGTTTTGTTATCGTTAACAAAGTTGTTTTTTCCCACACTAAATTTTTATACATTGAACGTTTTTAGCGTACGAAAACGTTAAACGATGTCTAGAGCCCAAGCTGAAAGTGTCATAAAGAATATAATCCGAGAAATCGCTCAAGAATGCGCGAATAAAGGCCAAGCTGTATCAGAGACTCTAGTTGCTTTCATGGTAAGACGTAAAAAATAATATTTGTCCAGAGTTTTTTATTTTCATGCTTAGTAAATCATTTAAAACTTAGGACCCTAACTTATTTTAATATCTATATTTAATAAACTGCTTAAAAAATTCCAGATATTTTACGATAAATATATAAAGGTAGTATCGCTGAAGATAAGTTTAAAAATGTTTTGATCATCTTATATTCTTTGGAAATCAGATTATATATATTTTATATTTTGTTTTAGGTAAAAGCTGTTGTACTGGATCCAAATAATGAGTTCAATGTTGATAGAACACTGACAAAGGATGATGTGCAAAAGCTTATCAGAGTAAGAACCACCTAGCAAGGACGTCAATTAATGTTTGCATTTGTGTTGTAATATTATGTAAAAGGGAATCTAGGAGAAGTTCAATGGGTGTATGTGCAAGTATCCTATCATTGAATGCCCAAGAATGCCTTGAAAATACAATATGTACCATTTTCAGGAAGTCAAATTTCCTTCGGCATCATATACCTGGATAATTTTGTCTCAATAAACACATAGCAATAAAAACAATAATAACAGAAAAATTCGAAAAATAATGTATATATATTTTCATCTTCTTTTATAGCTGTGTGTCACAAGGCTCCTCGACACGCAGTCACCTGCCCTGGATACAGTTAAAATGCAAGTTTATTTTGATATGAACTACACAAGCCGAGGTATTACAGATATAATACACCTTACAAAACTACTTACTATACTTACATTATTGCACAATGATCATGGCTATATATATTGGTATTGTTTGACAAATGTTTTCAAGTAATGTATATTATAGATCATTTACTTCAATTTTTGGAAATTGTTCGACAGCTGATTTCTTAGAAGAACACAGGCGTGTACTTGAACAAAGATTACAGCCTGTCATTAGGGAAATTACTGACAGTCGTGCCAGGACAAGGGATGAACTTGAAGGTATAAAGTGATAATTTGATTCTTCTTTGTTTAGTCAAGGACTTTTTTTGATGGGGGGGGGGGTATGGGTGTTAATCAATATCTATATTTAGTTTTTGTCACTCTGCCTTTACCAATCCTTATCCCCTTACCCAATTGAGGGACCAGGAGTGATGGTAGGTCTTTAAGATAAGTCCATAAGATTTTATGAAGAGATGCTGAAAGAGACTGCTTCCTGCCTTATGATTCCCATTGTCACTCTGTCGGCAAGAGGCAAAAGAGAGATATTGCAAAGGCTCACTGACATTGTATATAATTTCTGAGAGAGACATAATTTTCAATGGCATAGTTTATATTTTATTTTATTGCAGGGCTTTATAGGAAGGTAGTATCCTGTGTCTTGCTAAGATCAGGGCTTGGATCACCTACAGATATTGCAGTTGTGAGAGAAGCAACAGGTTTGGAAGCTGCGATCCAATATACAGTACTGTACTTTATATTAAGTTGTAGTGTAGAGCAGTTTTCTCGTGAGTGGATCAAAAAGTATGGTACTGATATCATATAGTACTGTATTTTATATTAAGTTATAGTGTAGAGCAGTTTTCTTGTGAGTGGGTAGAAAAATATTGTACTGGTATCATATGTTACAGTATGCCGTAACATTGAAATGGGTTCCGTATTGTCTTTGAGCACATCATCCAATCACAACATATCAATTATTATTAAAAGCAATAAATATGAATAATTATCATATTAGCTACAAATGATAGATTATATTCAGTAATTAATAACTACTTTAATGTGTTTTTTCATATAGCTGCTCTGCAAAGTGTTTTCCCACAAACAGAACTTGGAACATTCATGTCACTAAACAAACGAGACAAGGAGAGACAACTAAACGAGTTGACTCTGATAGTGACTGGAATAAGGTTATTCAACAGGGAGTGCGGCAAGGGTGGAGAAGGCATAGATGACTGTAAGTATATACAGAATATATAGTAGACTCATTTGGACTATAGAAAAGTGATCTCGATTATTTACCAGGGCCTGGTTGTATAAAGGGTGGATAGTGGCCAGTACAACAGATAAATCTTACCCAGTGGATAAACTTATTGGATTACAGCATCGGCTTATCCACTGGATAAGGATTTATCCATCAGATAGTGCTATCCACCCTTCCTACAACTGGGACAGGCATAATATAGTATTTACTGTTACTAATAGACAAAATGTTTTTGTAAGTTAGTGTTAATGGCCTTGGTCAGGCCACCAACAAGGCATTTCTGAAATTTAGGGCTAATTTTATTGATTTGATTAATGTTTTAGTGCCAGCAATCCTTAATGAAGCTGTACCAGCAACGACTCAGAATGTACAGACAGAACTATTGGGTTCCACCAAGCTAGCCTTTCTGTACACAGGTATCCCATACATTATATATTAGACTAAGATCAAAAGTCAAACTTTACATGMGCCAAACCTAATGACATCAAAGAATTAAGACTGCCTTGTTATCCAACGTTTCAATTAGGTTTGGCTCACGTGGCATTTAACCTGAGCCTTAGATAGTTAATACTTCAAATAAAGGGTTTGTACTTTGTTGTGTTTTTTTTTGAAAACATTATTTTGACCACYTACTCAACCATCCTAATAATAATAATGATAACTATAATATTTATAACATGCATATTCCATAATATGCATATGCTCACATGTGCAGTGTTATTTTATTAAGTACTTGTATTACATCTCTCCTTCCTTCTATCCAGTTGAGTGGTGCATTCTGTGTTGTGAATAGAACATTGCATTAGAGTGTGTGAGTTAGTTTGAAAGCCAGTCGATGACTAGAGACCTACTTAAATAAATAAAATTTATATCCTTACATTCAGTTTCCTTCTTTTTTTTGTAGCACTGTTAGAAAAGGGAAGAAAGAAAGAGTTGGAAATTGAGGAAAATGTACAGAAACTCCTCTCTGAAGCTCTCATCAATACCAGACAACATGAAGCATTTCTTAACATACTACTGGTATGAAGTTATATATTGAACTGGTTTTTATTCTTATTAGATCATATCAACGGTAGCACGTCATAATTCCAAAGTGGATGCATAACCTCATTATCAGTAAGACTCCTAACCAGCTTATATACTCCTGCCTTTCTCTAGACTATCATACACCATTTTACCTCACTCTAAACCTCCCATATTTAGACTGCAAGCAGTCCCTGTGTTTCCCTTGGTCAATGTTTGGTAGTTGGTTTGGTCAGTTTGGCCGAGCAAGGATTAGTAGCTAGTCCAATATCCTCAGGGGTGGGGTGTTAATTGATCCCTCACTCCCCATGCCCACCCCCTGGGGATATTAGACTAGCTACTAATCTTTGCTTGACCAAATTGACCAAAGCAACTCTAACTTGCCCAGAAACTAATACATTAATATATACAGAACGATGTTATTGGTTGTGCTCAACAAGTAGAAGCCCTAGAGTCTCAGTTATCTGCCAGGATGGAGACTCTCAAGATGACAGTACAGTCCAAGACTGCTGTCCCAACTGCTCAAGTCTATGTATGTATTTGGAATTACTGGTGTCCAGTAGATGATATAATAACTAAGTGATTTACTCTGTATGTTGTCTCTCCTTGCGTAGCCACAGTTTATCACGCTTGCTCACATCTGGACAGGATTTCAAGATGAGATGGTGTTACTAAGTGTACTCAGCAATATTCTTGCTAGTTTGGAGCCCTTCACCAAGGTACATCATCCATTACATAAGGGAGAACTTAAGGCACCATTAAGCAATTTTGTCTGCAACTTGTCTCTCAACAGCATTGCAACACAAAGCATTGCAACACAAAGCATTGCAACACAAGTAGTAAGAGTGTCTACATGCAATGGATATGCAATTGTTGCCAAAAGTAGAAACAAGATTAATTCTACTTTTCAAGACAATCGGTGCAACTTGTTCTCTAGACTGCAAGCTATATAAGTCCCTCTATTTCCCTTGGTCACTGTCYGTCTGTCTGTTCATGTTGATTGGTCGAGGAAGATTGGTTACCAGTCAAAAGTCCCTGGGRAGGGAGGAATGAATCTTTCACACTCTACCTGTTTTCACAACATTTTTCAAATTGAGCTGTAGGTTACACTCTGCAATGCCCCATGCAACTTGTGTCGCAACACCGTTGCGAAACAAGTTGTAGCCCAGGGGGTACTCTTGCCCATTTAGGGTAGGGATGTGCTGCTGAGCCCACTGAACCCTGACACTCTTCCAGAGTAAAATAGCTGAAATTCGTACCTTGTTCCAGAGCAAGATCGCTGAAAATTATACCCTGTTCCGGTATTGCGAAAATGGACACCCTGTTCCAGAGAGGAGAGAGTGTGATTTCATATACCCTGTCCCAGAGTAGAATCACTGAAAACCATACGCTGTTTGGCGGTGTATAGCCCGTATGGCAAATATAGGGGATTACCCCCCCCCCCCCCCGGGAGTTGCAGAGAAAATTGCTCCATGTAATTGCACCTTTACACTAAGTTTTGTAAAAATCAAACCTGCCTTAAGATCCATTGTCATAGCTACTAGCAGAGAATAAAAAATTAATTCATTAATGATTCTTTATTGTTAGGTTCACAAGGAATTATTAACAGAGGATGTCCTTGAACCATACTTAGAAAACATCGAGGTCAAGACAGATGATGAGAGGATTGCTGAAGTATGTCTCTTTTGGAAGAAAAAATAAGCTTGCAAATCATTACCCTTTTTACGGTGTCCATATGATTTTAAAACAGTTTCACTGATGTCAATATTTTTGTTGTGCTCTACTTTAGTCCGATGATGGCTGTCACCGGAAAAGCGATAATGTTAATGAAGCTGTTTCAAACTCATGTGGAAATCCTAAAATGACTTCATCACTTCACCACTTGAAAGTCTTAAAAGTACTATATTTCCCATTTTACCTACAGTAGAAAACGTTTTCATTAATAGATCCCCCATTTCGATATATATTGAATAGTATATGAAGTGTATTGAAATGGTATATGCCTGTCTCGAACTTGTATCTTAGTTCTCAAAACCACCTGTCTCGAAACGACTGTGTCTGGAAATGACTGGCATTCTCACTGAGCCTAAGGCATATGATTGTTGTTTTAGTATCACTGCACAGCAATGATGTGTGTGCGCAAGTTGCACCAAAGTTCTGTACCAATCAATTATACTCATTTCTGATATCAATATCAAGTAACATTAATGTTTCACACAAATTAGATATGAATTTAACATCTTATACATAAACTGTCTTATTCTTTGATAGACATTATCTGAAGAGAGTCGCATCAATCCAAAAGAAATCAACAATGATGACATAGAAGTGTTATTTCACCAGACCACCAAGAATTTTGACAAACTGCCAATTCAGTATCGGGTAAGACATCAAAAACTGAACAAACTTGGCAAATTTTCCATTTATCATTATGAGTTTATAAGTTAATTCAGTCCTAAATTCATCAGCTTATTTTCTATCTTCAGTGACACTCTTTGAATCAAAATGATGAGATTTCAGGTGAAAACCAGTCACTTGGTTTATGAAAAGAACAGATAGATTGCGGCCCCTCCCTCTTACATAAATATACAACTCAAACAGAGTTTCTTATTCTCAAGAGAATGACACATGACACAAAAATATATTATTATTAGGTGGATTGGGTCCATTCCTAGTAAGAATCCTTTAAAAAATAGTGAATGTTACTAACATTGGGATTTGTTAACACTGTCACTGTAAAGGCTGTTATCTGAGCAAATGAGAGACAGATAGGAAAACAATTAGAAAAGCGTGTGTTCATCAAAAAATCTTGTATCTCAAAGTTTAAATGCTCTTGAACAGTCGGGTCAATGCCTGATTTTTTTATTTCCTTTCAAGGCTCACGGTTATAAATTGCTTTGTTTTCTTTCCACAACTTTATTAACAAGAGTTTTTTGCTTTTTTTCAGGGATTTTGCGGGTGGTCATTAGTAGCATATGATCGCCTTCTCTTGCTCTCCAACCCAGCTATTGGTGTGATTCTATATAAGAATAACTACTATGCGTTCAAAGACAAGGAAGCAGCTTACGAGTTCTCTAATGCGCCTGACAGGTAGGTCCTATGGATTCTTCATTTATTTCTCTCTAGTGCTTCACCATCTTTCGTTTTTACGTTACATTATTTGGTGGTCTGCAACAAAAGACTTCTCATTAGGTCTTTTTGCACCTGCCCACAAATGGCCGCCATGTCTTTTTCTTCTGATCCTCTTGGGAATGGTTGAAAACCACCAATATATTTTTCCTTGGTTTTCTCCTTAGTTTGATTTTATCAGCCTTATAGGGGACGCTACAACAGGGTCTATATTCTTGTCACAGCCACTACTGTTAGAACAAAAGCTATTGTGCACCATAAAAAGGGCATCAACTTTACTCATTCTATCCCATTGTGCACTACATCAAGGAGTGTTTTCTCGTTGAGTAAATATTGTGAAAGATTATGTAGCATTCAGTCGTGTTTTTTTTTTTTGTATTACTTCAAGGGCTGATCCAGGGAGGGCAAAGGGGGGCTGAAGCCCCTCCCCCTTCAGCAAAGAAAAACGATGCTTTTTTATATTGTTTTCCGTTGTGTTGACCGAAGAAACTCAATTAGCCCCCCCTAAACTCAATTAGCTCCCCCAAAAAATTTTGACTGGATCCGCCCTTGTACTTTCCCTTGTCTTAATATCGCAGTTCTCTTGCGTAGTTATATTACAGAAGTAGCTGAGGCAGCTAAGAGATCACCTGAATTGATTCAGCTTCTGGAACTACATACACAATTTGCATCCATTACGCCCTACACTCAGGTAAATGCTGCTCAGTAGTTTAAACAGTCGCATATTCGAACATTTGTGTAGTAGCGAATATAGACAAGTTGGAATTGATGTGTGTGTGTTTCGGGGGGAGGGGAGGGGGGGATGAAGCTGGTAGGTTCCCTTGTTTCCTTTCCTTCGTTTTTCTTACCTTTTTTTCATTTCTCATTTTCTCCCTTCCTGTCTGTTCTTATAGCCCCTTGTCTGACCTCAACCTTGCTCCAATAGACCTAATTCATCTTGGTGCAATGTTAACCCATTTCAGACCRCGTGTTATTCTCTTGAGAATAAGATTCTTTGTTTGAATTGTGTCCATATTCATGTTTCTTCTAATGTGCAACCGTTAAACAAAGAAATGATACTCTAGGAAATGACACTTGGTCTGAAATGGGAAAATATTACTCCACAACGATTTAGGTCTGTTATCTGTCAAATGTATGATCACTAACTGATGTTCTTATTGTCGTATAGCTGCGTGACCAGGGTCGTATGATCGAGGCACCCATCACCAAGTGCGACAGTGGTACCCAGACAGACACCCATTTCATAGAAACTAACATTGTCAAATCGTATGAATGGAATGAATGGGAGCTGAGACGCAAAGCGCTGAAACTAGTATGCATTATTTCTTATGATGACTGTATTATTATTGTATAAATATTCTTGTACGATGTTCTATCCATGCGCAATGAGTTCTATTCTATTGTTTTGCGTGCTAGGACTGAATGATTACAAATGAGAATAACTTAAATACTGAACCACAAAAGTTTGCGCGAGTCGCGATCTTGTTTTGAGTTTACGCGAAATTCGCAAAAAGAAAATTGAGAAATTTTAGAATAAGAGCTTCGTGACGTGAAGAAAAACAGAGGAGCAAAATTTTCATTTCATTAGAAAATAAAGATTATTAGATTCCCATCTTTGGTCTGAGTGAATACTTGCACATGAAGAGCTCTTCATTAGTTTGGCTGCTTGACGTTATGGGTGCTATCTATTATACTGATGTGTTACATTCAACATAGGTTCTTGATTTTTCTTGCAGGCCAACTTACGCACCAAGTTAACACACTCGGTACAGACTAATCTGAGTAATTTTCGACGAGATAACGTCAGCCAAGTCTACCTGCCCAGGTATGTCAATGTCTTTGTCACAAAATGCATCAGTTATAGACTTCCTTGATGAAAATAGCACTTCAGTCATGCGTAAAAACGACTTACTTCAGTGTTCAAAACGAAAAGCAGTTCTACGAAAAAGTTTATTGCTATTTTTTCATGGCTGATCGTTTCATGTGGAGGTTAAGTCATTGAGAAAATTTTTTGCTTTCCCGAGTTTAAAATTTTTGTAGTACTCTTTAAAACAGATACTGCGTAGGACGTTTGCATGATGGCGTCGTTTGACTCCCACTACCAAGATGCTTCGCGAAGTTTCCTTCTTATTCAAATTTGTATTCCCTCATGAGAATAGTAAGACAATTGGTGCTAATTATATAAACAAAAGAAAGTGTGCAAGGGAGTCTGGTATAGTAGAGGTCAATGACGCCATCGTGACGCCATCGAATCGAACCCTCGATTCAGTTATTTGTTTCGCAAGGTGAATCGATTTTTTGTTGTGTCTTTTTAGGGAGATTTCTACTCAAACCAAACGAGAAAACTCATCGAATGTACCCAAACCCTCTCGATATATCGCTGGTTTACGAGGCTGTAATTCTACCAAGACAACAATGAACCTGGTCGACCTCACCCTGGATGTAGATCAAACCTAAAAACACGTTTGTATAGTTGTTTTATATTAGGTGTGCTCGTGTATGTAAAGTATTCAATAAAGATTTGTAAAGTTTTAACAGATTTTTTCTAATTATCTTCCTTTTTTCGCCATCAACAAGCCTTTGGCTCTCTTTTAGTACTGTATGCATATTTAGCCTGTAACATTACTAACGACCTATATCAGCATCAGCATATTCTCCACCACCACGCTCCTAAGAGGGTAAGATATGGCCGCCATGTTGGTTGGCATAACAAAAAAATACCAAAACGATTCTTTGTTAAAGTAAATCAAAATGGCGGCTATGACGTCACATGCGCCATTTATCTAATCAGCCAGACTGTCTAGTGTATTTATTGACTTAAAAAAAACTAGTAGTATTCAATGTACATAAATTAATATAATCTACATTCCTAGTCGTTATCATCATCAGTTGATTCAGCATCATCATCATCATCTTGTTCTGACTGACTAAAAGCAACACTTCGTTTTTCACTAAAGTCATCTTCGAGACCTAAAAGTTCAGGATCTTCTTTATTGGAATCTACATCTGAACAAAGATCCTGCGCATCCTCTGCGCTCGCAGCCGCTGACATAGATTCTTTATCCATGACGGCAGGCTGTGCATTTGAGTCTCCCGTTGTCTCCTTTTGTGTAGCAACCTCTCCGCTATTATTTCTTATTTGACTTAGATTTTTATTCTGTTCTGGGCTATTGATTGTTTTAGTCTGTGAAGTTGATGCCTTAAAATTTTGATCATTAGATACGGCTGAATCACTTTTTTTATCCTCGCCTTCCTTTGTATTTCCGGCAACTTTTTCTTTGTCATCATCATCAACATCTGAAAAAGCAACATCATCCAGAGCAATAACAGAGCTATTTTCAGATGACGCACTGTTCAAGTCCATAGGTAAATAAGAATGATCCATGTGTAAGGTTCCAGGAGTAGGAGCTCGTGACATTCTTTCTCGGGCTTGGAAACCTCCCAATATAGGATCCCAGCCTCGTTCTGACAACTGACTGGTCGCACGCGATGCCATGCTCTTTTCTCGACTCATTTTCGTGGATTCTAAAGGTGTTGTGGCTGAGCCTTCGGTGTCAGATTCAGCGGTAGTGAAAAGTCTCTTGTAGTCTTTAGAGTAAGACTGGGCTTTGTCTTCGTCGATGATGTGTGAGACAATCACATCACGTGTACACAATCGACGTACTTCTTTTCCTATTGCTTCAAGCATTTCTAAATCTCCCGTTGGCTCGACACCAAGACATTTTAGAGTAAAGATTGCCTCTCTGTTGAATAAGATGAAGGACAAAATTTAGCAGAGTAGAGATATGCGCCATCTGTGTGTGAGTAGATAACACTTGCTCCAAGCTGACCTCTCTGAGAATAAGAGTCACGAACGAAGCAAGTGGGAAAAAAAGCGAGCGTCACTGACCCGGCTTATTCTTATTCTCACTTCGTAAGATATCTACTACAACTTTTCCTAGCTTACTAAAGCAAGCAACTCGAAATTTTACTTCCATTATTCTAACCGCTCACCCAAAGAAGTTTGTGTCGATTTGTACTCGAAAGTATCGCTCGAATTTTGAGGCTATAGAGGCTTTGCACCATCATGTGATGGCAGCCATGACAGGAGGCACAAAAATAGTCTTTTTTCTCCAGGGAAACTAAATTCTTTCTCATGTTAATCAGATTAGACCAGATTCCGTTGTTCAGTTCCTGCCTTTTGCTATGGCTGCCATCACGAGATATTGCTAAGCCTCTATTCTAAACAAGTTATCAATGTAATAGTTTAGTCATTGGAGTACCTTTTAACGAGATCGTCCGTCTCGACTACCAGTCTGTCTTGTAGAACAGCAAGAATGCGTGGATCCCTGATGCGTAGCTTCGATACAGCATTACAGGCCTCTGCACGTACTGCTGCCATCTTGTCATAGCGTATAGCCCATAATAACACTTCTGTTACGCGATCGTTGACAATACCAATGTTACCTAGAGCTGTAAAATGGTAAGAGTATGTTTCAGAGTAGTGAGAGCGATTTGAATATGATCGACATCAGCAGTTAGACCAGAACTGGACCCACTTTTCTCACTAACTAAATAATTTATATCTCAAAAATAAAAGGAAATACCACGCGCGCAAAGAAAACCTGATCGAAATCTCGTTCCATTTTTTGTGCATGCGCAGTTTTCCGGAAGTGAAATATAATCAATGAAAATTATGCTTTCGAACAGAGTTCTGTGTTTATTTTCGATCAAAATAAAAATTAGAAATCAGGAACATTTTTTTAATTTTTGGCAAGTCTTTAAACGCAGGCGCTCTTAATGGATTATGCCAGAGCCTTTGTTCTCCGCCGCAGGCCAGAAGAATCGCAGGCTCTGGGTACGAGATTGACCTGATCGCCGTCTTGCCAGTCTATTTGCTTTACTCGATTCGTCTCCGCCACGCGCGCACCGATAAATGTGGGTTCAGCTCTAGACTACCATCAAAGGTCGCATAAAGCTTCACTAACAATCACCTAATATTTTGCCCGTCATGTTGGGCGACAAATAGAGGCTGCACAAAACTATTATTCCATCTCGACTACCAATTTATGATCCGTTCCGAGGTTGAGAAGAATACTGGGTCGAGTCGGCATAGCAGTGCATTGTGGACTTTTTTTAGGTGACAAAATAGACGGCAGCATGGAAAAGGCCCCTAAAACAGTCCCGTAATGCACTGCAATTTCAAGTCGACCCAACTTTTTTTCTCAACCTCAGAATGGCTAATAAATATTATTGTAACAAAGGTGTACATTGTTTAACAAAAAATGCCTGCCCCATGCACCTATCACCGGAGAGCCTGTATATGTATATCTACATGTTTTACCTTTAATAACGTGCGCCTTGACCTTCCAGCTTCGATCATTACTTGCGATTAAAAGAAGCTCGTTTAACATTTTGTCATCGGTTATTTTTAACTGACCAGCGGCCTACACGAAGAAAATAGTCAGGTTTCAATCTTGTACATCATTGATTAATTAATAAGGATATTTTTATATACTTACCATGGCTGCTTCGATCCTTACAGACACATATTCACTATGGAAACACTGGAGCAAAGCAGGTAGTAAACGAACAGTCATGATACCAAGATTAGATAACTAGAAATACAAGAGAACAAGTACTGGTTAAATTACGTCACTTGTATCACACGTGTATCAGTGCATGGTGCGCCGTGGATGGAAAAGGAACTTAAATTTATCTAGCTTCCAAACGTGCAGCTCGACTTAATATCTGACTAAATTTGGGCTGCGCGCAGGCTATCAAATCTCCCGTCAAACGCAAAAACGTCCTGTAGTTAAAATTTAGAGTCAACATGCGAGTTGTTCGCGCACTTACTTTCTTGAGTGCGTCCACCTTAACGCGCTCATTCCCTGACGTGATTCTTTGTTGGAGGGCGTCATGGACAAGCTGTAAAGAAAGACAAAAGGTTAATGAATATTGTTTTTCTTGAAATCTCACTGATACTGACAAACAAGTGAACAAGACTTGTACGCGTGCATGCATCCCCCAGGACCCCTGGAAAATTTGAAACGTTTCAAGCATCTCGCTGGTGAACTTGAACCCACTTTGAAGAACCATAGGAATATTAATGTCTCAGATATTAAATAATAAACAACAATAATAATAATAATAATAATAATAATGATAACAATAATAATAATTAACATCGAGAAAATATGATTTACATTATTAGCATTGTTTACCTTCCCGTTCCCAGTTTTCCCCAGTGCTTGTGCAGCAGCAGTCCGCACCTCTTTACTCCAATCGCTCCACATCAGATATGACAGCTTATGCGTCATGTCCTAAAAAAATATCAGTAAAAAGATTATAATTGTATAGTCTCTTATTTCTAGTTTTCTGTTGCTTATCCCTCGGGCAGAACGCAGGCGGGCAAGCCTATCGGTGCGACAATGAGAGTTCCAAAGTCCCTGCAACATTTCGCGCAACTGAAGATTCTTGCACTCCATGTCACAGAATAAACGTTCCTCGTATTACCATGTACTCTTCTCTATTTCAAAAAGTACAGTTTGCGCAATGAATAAACTTTTTGTTGTTTAAATGTTAACATTAACCAAATTTCCTTTGCAAGTGATTTTACACACGGTYAAATCAGTTAACATTGTTCTCGGCGTACCTTATTAATACCTCCCTTGAGTTTAGGGATGACTTTACAGGCTGTCGCTCTGTCTTTCCAGCTACTGCTGTTTAGGAGTTCAGCTATCAGCGATTGTACAATACCCTAAACAGAAAAAGACAATGATCATCAAGTCAACAGTTGTGCAATATATTTCCTACTGCACGGATTGGACGAATTTCTAACGACTTTGCAAAACCGTTCTGCAAAAAAAAAAAAAAAAAAAAAACAGGCATCCAAACTGGCGACTTTGAGATGGCCTTTCTTTGAAGAACTTATATTACAACTATGGGGATCTCTCGTCCTCGTTCTCATAGTACTAGTTGCTTTCAAAAGAAATAGGGATAGGCATTAAAAAATAAACTAGGGAACGCAGATGCTGTCTTCGCTTGCCCTCCCACCTGAAACACGTACAGCAAGGCTAAGCTTTCAGGGAGTTGTAGCTCTTTTGTGAGAGAAAGATCTAGTCCTCTCCTTCTTCCGCATTGCAATAAGTAGCATTGCACATATTTTAAGAAAATGCGCAATCGTGGTGAAATGACTTACTGAAAGCCTACTTAGCTCTGCCAACAGACCTCCAGCCTCAACAGCACGAACAGAGTTATCAGAATGCAGCTGCCTGACCAATTCATTGATGACCTGATCACAGACGATACCAGCTAATGCAAGACACTGGGTAGCAGCCCATTTCTCTGGAGGACCTCCATGTTCTATAGACCAAAGTAACACACTCTCCGCCTAAAATGTAACATCAAATATATTCACTATTAAAAAGCAAGTGTAAGGCGAAATATATGGAAACGCGCGCTTGCACGTGACTTCCAACCAGGCTTTTCACCTTACAAAAATCCCTGTAATGGAAGCTATTTTTAAATCTGGGGTACTTTTCATTTGAACCATTCCATCCGGTTGGAAATCCGTTTGCTAATGGTAAGAAAAGAGCGAGAACAACTTTCATACAAAAAAAATGGTACACGCATCTACCGGAAGAACCGAAAAGAGCGGGAAAAGTGGATTACGTCAATCAGAAGACCGAGTTTTCCGGAACTTTCCGGTCGGAATGACACAACCCAGTTGTTTTCCAATAGGAATTTTCAGTTTTTCCAGGTAAATGGAAAGCACCCCTGCTTTGATGTAAGTAGTAGTGTCACTTCATATTCGTGGCAAGTTTGCTTTTGGCGTGTCGTATGTGATTGCTGTTTATATTTTGTATGGATGTGAAAAACTTAAGCTATGGTCGTTGAGTGTCGAGAAAATTCTCCACGCAAGTCCCAGGAAATTAGAGCACCGTGTATGATATATGATTCAGTTGACGACGTCAATCCCATATTGTGAGGCTGATTGGACTTTCCGGCAGCCAGTCACAGGAATTGTATCCTAATTTTTGAGCGCGCTGTCCCAYGTCTTGCATGCAAAGCCATACAACATTCGTCTCAAATGGAAACAAACCAGCTACCTGTTCATTTGGCTTGTTCAAGGTGTAGAGTGTAATGGCTGCAGCGATTCTCACATGGACATTCCGGTCTTGAAGCAGTTGCGTTACTTTATCAAATAACTCGGGCTCAAGAGTACTTTGGAGGGAGATTTCACTTTCTTTTGCTTTGTCCAGTGATATGCCTAGAACAAAAAAGTGGATGCACTGCACGTAAATATCACATCATAAAATATAAGCGAGAACGATCGTTTTATTTTCTATTCCGCCTCTCTCTCTCTCTTTCTCTCTCTCCCTCCCTCTCTCTCTGTCTCTGACTCTCTATCTCTCTCAGATTAGAAAACAGCAAAGTATTCAAGCGTGCGCACAAAACGTTCCTCCAATCTAGCTCTCATGATCTGTGCAATGGATAATCATTCATAGTTGCACTTTTTYGACCAATCAGAGCGTGTGCAAACCACTCCTAAGATGTCCTTGCCTTGCAGTACTGGTTCTTCTTTCTTTGTCTTTCTAATCATTGCAGCCTTGCTACAGGCAGCTACTGCAGCTAAACGAACATGATCATTGATGTCGTCCATTGCTTTAAGAAGTTCCTCGGTTGTGCTATTCTGCCATTTTCTGTCCAGGAACCATTTGGACCTCCATTCCTCAGCTGAAACAAAAAAAAAATGCCAATCAAAATCAATCAAAATTCCAAACCAATAGAGGCTTTGCACAATCATGTGATGGCAGCCATGACAGGAGGCCCAATAATAGAGAATCCTTTCTTATGTAAATAAGCTTAGACCAGATTCAATTGTTCTTGCCTCCTATCATGGCAGCTATCGCGTGAAGTCATGTGATCCCTTAATAATCATGTTCCTTTAGTAACCGTTTTTCTCCAAGTATCTAAAGTCACAGCACATACCAATTTTCACAACATTGATATCTTCCTTRATCTTTTTTCTCTGTTTATATTCAGCGCTTAGTTCTGATATGTCCATATCTGAGCTGCTCATTGTATACATTGGTGTATTAATGTAGCTGTCATCCTGGAATAATATTAAAGATAACTAATAATCAATAAATATAGAGCTAGGTGCACTATTGTTTAGCATTGTATTGGCACCAAAACAAACTTTTGATATAACTGTGAAAAATAAAATAAAATAAATCTTTTTATTTATACATGGTTGGCTTTAAAGCTAGAAGCTTGTGGCTTTTAAGATAGAAGCAAGAGGATTTTTACGAAGGGAGGAAAATGGGAGAACCTGGAGAAAAACCCTTGTGGCACAGGAAAGAACAACACATCAAACAAACTCAATTCGAATGTGACGACTAACACGTCACTTGATACTTTCACTGAGCATATCAGTCACAGAATGTAAAGTCGATATTCCAAAAGTCAATACTGCGATTATTTTTTATAGACAAAAGAACCTTTTACCTGTATCACAGATGGCAAATCCTTCCATCTTTGCAGTCCCTTCTTCTGTCTTCCAATCTGTGACATACTTGATTTCTTTTCCTTTAACTCACTTGGAAACCATGGAACTGCCCCTTGTGGGAAGTTCTCTTGCAGGTGTTTCTTAAACCTTACTTTATCATTAGAGTCTAAAACTATAGCATTTTGTTCTTTTAACTTTTTAGATGGCAGTGGAAAAGCTCCACTTAGAAGTTCTTGTTGATAGAAATTTTTAGTGTCAATTTTTTTGTCTCCAACACCAGGAGGTAGAAAAAAAGATGAAGTTAGGTGAACTTCTGAAGTTTGTTCTGTCTTTAGGTCTTTGTCTTTGTCTTTGAATTTTTCCTTTTTTACGGATCCTGGTTCATCTTTTGGTAAAGCAGTTTTCTCAGTTTTTGGATCTTCTTCTACATCCTTGTACCTCTTTTTCAAAAATCCTGCAAGCCTTTCTTTTTCGACTCCTGAAATGTGTTCACTGACAATCCAATCAGCCGTTGCTTTACTGAGTGATGATAAAACAAACTCATCCCAACCATGTCTGGACAGTTCTTTAGGGATTTGATCATCCAATTTGCCAGCTTTTGGGATGAGCTTTACTTCTGCTAATGAAATGGTGGTAGAGTCTTTTTCACTTTCAGTAATTTGGTGCTTTTTTAAGGGCTTAAGTCTTCTTGGTCCCTTCAAGTGACAAGGAACATGGTGCCTGATTGATCCTCGAGGGTCATGCCTTCCAGTAAGGCCTGACACAACTTTGGGCTTCAACTTTACAACACCATCAGCCTTGAATACCTTTTGAGCTTCCTTCTCCTGGTACGGAACTGTGTGTGGTGCACGAGATAGGACCACTTCATCAGAAAACGAGAAGCCACTACTTATTTTCTTCAAATAACTTTTGCTCACGCTATTATTTGTTCTATCAGTTACCGTAGGTGGATTTCGAGTTAAAACTTGGATTAGCTTCTCATTCTGTTCATTCTGGGGAGATTCTGATCTCTTTTTCCCTATAACATCAAGACTATTTTGAATAACTGCAGTAGAAACCAAGGAGTTATAATGTGCAAGTCTTGAAGGAACAATATCTGTATGATAAGTCGAAGGTCTTTCTAACGACTCAGCTGTTATCACAAACTCGTCACCTCCAACATACGGAACTTGAACGCCTGAAGCCACAGGAAAAAACTCGGCTCCATGAGATTTTGGAGGAGACAACCCTCTTGATACTAGATAAAAAATATCAATGTTACGATAAGTTGAATGTAAACAAAGGGAGAAAAGGTGTCAAGGAAGTTAGACTTCAAAAAGTCAGCTGATTGTAAGTAGATTTTCACAATTTTTTGTATCATGAATGGTTTAGAGTATAGATTTAAATATAACCTGTATTCCGTGGTGTAGAATAGCCTCCTGTTGCAGAAATATAAGCCATTTTAGAGGTATGTTTTCGTGTGCCAGTGTTGTAAAATCGCCATTTTGTGAAGAAGAAACACGTTGCCATGGAAACCTCGTATTTTCATTGAGCCTGCGTTGTTTCCTTGACCACAGGAACCCCAAAACTCTTTTATTTCTTCGTGAAGTCCTTTACACCTTTCCTTTATCTTACTTTACGAAGAAAATTCCGGATGCAACGGCAGACTAATTAAGGCTTTTATAGAAAGAAGGAAATCTGGGTTAGTAATGTATATCTCTCAAGATAAAGATGGTCTCTAGATTTCTTAATGCCGGTGKATGGCAAAATAATTCTCAGTTCTCCCTTTTAATTATTCATTTAAAAAAATCAATATTTAATATACAGGGATATCCAGTTTAGATCCTGATATAACATAACAGTAAAATTTACAGAAATTTAAAAGCAATGACCTTTGACTCCTATATAGGATAATGAACACAAAAATGATTTCTGTTTTTCAAGCATTAGGAACATTCACTTTATTTCATTTGGTGGCTCCTAAAAGAGCCGTTTTTTCATTGAGTATTTTATTCTTTCTTCTTGGGCAAAAGCACCGCTTGAATGTTAGGAATAACACCACCTTGAGAAATAGTGACACTGCTGAGTAATTTGTTCAGCTCTTCGTCATTCCTGACAGCTAACAGAATGTGACGAGGAATTATTCTGCGCCTTTTGTTATCTCGGGCGGCATTTCCAGATAATTCTAGAACTTCTGCAGCAAGGTATTCCAGAACAGCGGCCAAATAAACAGCAGCTCCGCTACCGATTCTCTTGGAGTAGTTTCCTTTGCGCAGGAAACGATGAACACGACTTACTGGAAACTGCAAACCTGCTTTTGCAGATCGGGATTTCGGCTTTGCTCGAGATTTTGCTCCTTTACCACGGCCAGACATCTTTATTTGGTCAAAATACTATCCAAACGAAAATTTCTAGAAGGACGATAGCAGAATGTTACGCTGCAAAAGATTAGAGGAACTATATACTTTTTACTGAAAGAGAAGATCCGAATCCACCAATCAAAATCAACATCCAAAGAAAGAACCAATCAAAATGACGATCTTTCTCTATTGAAGCTAGACATTTTAAACTTGACGTCTAGGCCTGTCAGTCTTGATATCAAAGCCATGTAAGTGCTGCAACGCTGTCCAATTGTATTCGAGATCACGGGAAAAGCCTTCCTAGTGTCGTTTATTTTCTCCTTTTTCCTATAACGTCCGAAAAGGATGCGAGTCTTTTGATCCGCTGCTCGTATATAAATACTAAATCCTCAATGAAGAAAGTTAACCTTTACTTCTGTGATTTTGTGAAATAGCATATAAAGTCCGAGAAAAATGGCAAAGGCTTCAAAGAAGAGTGCTAAGAAAGGAGGAAAGAGAAAGGCGTCTACAGCAAAGAAATATACCAAAAAGCGAAAGCAAAGTTATTCCATTTACATCTACAAGGTAATGAAGCAGGTCCATCCTGACACTGGTATCTCAGGCAAAGCGATGAGCATCATGAACTCTTTTGTTAATGATGTCTTTGAGAGGATAGCTGGGGAGGCTTCTCGCCTTGCTCATTATAACAAAAGATCAACCATTACTTCCCGTGAAGTGCAAACTGCTGTTCGCCTTCTTCTTCCAGGCGAGCTTGCCAAACACGCTGTTAGTGAGGGCACAAAGGCTGTCACCAAGTTCACCAGCAGTAAATGAGTAACACCCAGCAATAAAATAAACACCGGCTCTTTTAGGAGCCATCAAATAAAATAAAAGTGTATTGATCAAAGCTTTTTTACTGACTATCATAAATATCCTTAGAAAATAAATTTTATTCGTACGCGTCGGTCGTTAGTTTATGTGGTAATGATTGTTAGAAAAGGATAAATCTTTTAGTGAATTTTTGGAGGTAAAGGATTATTTTTAATTTGTATTTTTCAATCAGTTTAGGATAAACGAAAGAAACAGTCGATTTAATTCTAAACATAAACTCCAAGAAAATAAGCTAATTCCTCTCAAAAAAAAACCCAGACTGATCCCTGGCTGGATAAGCTTATTTTTTTCTGAGTTTTGGTACAAAGGTTTTTGCTTCCTTCCCCGAGAAATAGTGTTTMGAGAAAATATTCTAGCTTTAAAAGCCAAAAGAGTTGATAATGTTTTGAAGAATAAACTAGTTTTTTTKAATGAAATATTTCTAAAATACTAAAAATTTGATCATGAAATGCGTTTTGCTATCTCGAGCCATATGTGAATGTGTCACGTGTCATATATGACGTCATTTTGTGGGACATGTGAACTGTAGCGCGGGAAGCATTTGGGTGCGAAAAGTTTTCATCTTCAAAACTTCGCTGATTTTACTCGCCAAAAGCATAACACTTAACTTTTAATCGTTTCTTGGGATCATGGGAGACGATGTCAACGAAGAACCTGAACATTTTAACCCTCACGAAGATCGAGAGAAGCGAAAACAAGTTCGATATGAGTACCGCGAGCTGATCTCCGAAACAGAAAGTAAGCTCATAATGTTTATAATCGTAAATGTCTTTATTCTCTACTAAATGGGTTTAATACCCTTTGTARTTTTTGTTGCCTAAAGCACTGGTATTGCGTGGGTTTATTAGTATCGGAGTTTGCCAGTATTATGACCTTGTAGTAATAGAAAATATTCAGAATCAATGGCACCTATCATTCAAAACATTTAATGTTATATGCTACTTTATATTTTATATAACATCTTAATTGTTATCCATATAGGCATCCTTTGTTTTGTTTYCTTCTCCTTTCAGAAAATAGCCTGGAATTTATTAAGCCAGAGTCTAAAGGTTTACACAAGGCTCTTGACAGGGCTGAAGAACTATTTGATGAAGGTATTGATAAAATGCACAGTTACAGGAACTAATATTTAGACAAAGAATGGTGCCATGTAGTGTGATTTGCATAGGTGATCAAGCAAGGAATGGCTGCTTAATCGTTCAAGATAGAGGGTCATGACTACAGCWTTGGATGAAAGATATTGAAATGAAATTTTTGTAAACCCCTCGAAGCACAGGAGAGAATTCCATRTGAAAGGGGGTACTAGGGCTGGTTAAGTGACAGAAATGTGCTGCTGGTGTATATCAAAACCCTGATCCTAACAAAAACAAAAACAATGTCGAAAAGGTATACCTATCCAAGACACAGGACTGTAAATTATCCCTATAAACCCTATCAATACCACTAACATATCCTGTCCAAGGTGATACCATGGAAATTCTATACCCTCTCTAAGACCAAAATTAGAAAAAAACACACCCTATCCACTGAATGTTTCACCAAATGTAATGTTTCAGAAATTTTTATAAATGTCTTGTAMTTTACTGGATTTATCAAATTTATTTTAAATTCAAGTCAAACAAACGAGAGAAGCAGTTTTGGATTCCCATTTCCTGGTTTTGGCATCAAAGCTTGGCAGACAGCAGGCACAGAAATTACAGACCCATCTTGTAAAATTTGATCCAGATGTTTTTGCAGAAAAATTGGTAAGATCAAAATTATATTTATTATTTACCAGACTAAAGTTGGTCTGGATAGCGAAAACTGTATTTATGGTCTTAAATATAGAGACCTAGGCTGTTAGGTCTGTTTTCAAGACCAAGGGCACGAATTTTCCATATCTAGACCAATTTTAGGGCTATAATRACCTTTTTTTTCCAATTAACTTTTCTACATGTTCTGCAATTTGTTTCATTGTTTGACAATCCAATTTCCCTTGCKCACAGCAGACAGATAAAAAATACCTTCCGCTCACTCAGCCAATCAGAAGTTCAAGAACATATATACTTACAAATCCTTTGCTTCGCATGACATTGAAAGCTGTCTTTATTGCTACTGATAGTAAGTGTAATCCCTTATCATTCTTTCAGATAACGTTCATGGGTGGAAGAAGTTTAACCCAAGTAGCAAATCAAGATGATGACGAAGAGGAGGATGATGATGCAGTTGGCACTTCAAGACCCAATAAAAGAAGACTCTTACAGCTTGATTGGAACAGACTTGGCAAAAAAGCTGCTCCGTACTTAAAAAGAACTCCATCTTTGACATTCATGTATGCTAATCTACCTTTCAACTTTTTCCATGCATTTTTACTTCCACTTATTCCCAATCCTTTTCATTCTGGCCTTTTTATTAATTTTTAGGTTTTATTGATATCTAAAAATTGTTTGTAAGTAAAATRATATAGCATTTTGGTTTTAGGTTTGGTCCTCTTGCAATTGGACCTCCAGTGAGAAAGACAAGGGCTCCCTCTGCCAATAAACCCAAGGATAAACCAAATGCTGCCGAAAAGGTTACTCCAAAACAGGTATGTTATTATTTGATTGATATGTGTTAGCATCTTTAGTTGTCCTTTATTCTGAACTTATTTATWTTCAGCTTGACAAGGTTGAAAGCCAAGAAGAAGCCACAACTGGTGAAGTATCAAGAGTGTACAAGTGCTTGGCTAAGGCTACTGCACCTCGCGGTAAGTAAACCACTTGTCATCTCATCCAGGGCTCTCTCCTTACAACACACTCACACACTGTACAAGTGCTTGGCTAAGTCTACTGCACCTAGAAGTAAGTAAACCACTTGTCATCTCATCCAGGGCTCTCTCCTTGCAACACACTCACACACTGTAAAGTGCTTGGCTAAGGCTACYGCACCTAGAGGTGTAACCAGAATTTTGCAAAGGGAGGGTCCAAAATTAAAGATAACTCCATTTTTCTCAARCCCCTGAATGCAGAACCCAAAAAAATCTTGAACAATCCAGCATTAAATTAATTTTTTTCATGTAACGGAAAAAAGACRGAAGGCCCTGCCCCCTTTTCCTACCCTGCCTATGCCTCTGTGCACTTAGCAGTAAGTTAACTACTTTCCATCTCTTCCACATGCACCCAGCCCAGGGCTCTTTCCATACAACACACACACATACACTAAGAAAGGGTCTGGGGGAGTGTTCTGGTACAGAATGCATTGTCTATGATGACCTCTGGACATCATAGACATTAATAGTAGTATGGCACCAATTTCCTATAATTCATTTCCACTTCATGACTTGTGTTTTTTTCTTTTCATTTCATTTTTATTCTTTTAAATCATTTAGGTCCAGATGAAGAATTTCAGCCAGTTGGTTTATTTGAATTTATTGTCAACCCAGAATCGTTCTCTCAAACTATAGAAAATATGTTCCACTTATCATTTTTAATTAAGGTACTGTAGGTTTACACTCACTTTGCTGGGGGGCAGTTCAATAAGACAATCAAATTTATTGTGCCATTGATAATGTTTTGACAATTTTAGGATGGACGAGCAAAAATAGATATTGACGAAGACACAGGTTTACCTTATGTTGGTAAGTAAAAGAAAAGTCATCACAATGATGACGTTATTTACTTAAAAAACCATCCAGATGAGTATAGACTACAGTAAAGATATTTGAGAAGGCATTTTTAGATCTTGGAAACAATAATCCTGTGTTAATATTTACAGGGGTGGATCTAGGGGAGTGGTGCAGGGGGAGCACCCCCCTACCCCTAGATGAACTGATATCTACTGCATTATTGGCTTTAAGTTTGTAAGCCTCCTAAAAGGAAAATCCTGAATGGTGCACCCCCCCCCCCCCCCCCCCCCCACTAGAATAAATCTAGGGTCTGCCCCTGATTTAAACTTTTGGGTATTAACAAAATGCATGTTCAAGGAGATAATAAAGTTTCTCTGAATAAATGTGTTGAATAATGCTTGCCTGAATACATACTGTACTGTTGTTGTACCTGTTGCATCTTATATGCTTTTGAATATTCAAGTTAATGCAACATTTTAAAAATCTCCTAGAACCATTTGAACCTTACAATGAAGGACAATGCAAGGAAACTGTCTTGAGAAAACAAGTTATTACACATTTAAGTTTACCTGAATTTAAGGTTAGTCTAGTAATAAGAATGAATACTATCGATGTCACCAAACTGGATTTTCAGTAGTCTGCATACATTTATCCACTAATGGGCATCCTTAAGATAGCTGTGGGGAAGAAAATCATTAAAAGGATGTCAAATCTTCTACTTGCTGTTCATTTTGAGCACTAATGTTGAACTGGAAATGAGGCACCCACTAGAATAAATTATTCAATTAATTCTTAGAAAAATGCCATTGATCATAACATTCRGTAAATTATCCGAAAGTGGAGTTTTACTTGAATGTTCTAAATACCCTTGAAAAGCACTTGAGGAATCTTGAACACTGTAATAAAATTGTTGTAAAGAATGATGGTAGCCTATGAGCAACACACAGCTGAGCCCCGAGTCTGTTGTTTCCGCTTTAGTTTGTGTGCAAGCGAAAACTCCACCCTAATGACTGATAGATATTTAATTCTTGTTCACTGTAGGAAATAGTACAAGTATTTAAWATCAAGAAATCAATGATTCCAACTCGTGCAGCAATGACTGATRGTCAATCAGGATTAACTAATGGTTTCCATGGTGATCAATAATTTGTAATTGAACTTTATTCAATCTGACAAGGCTGTCACCTAATCGCCGAAAACATAATTTTATAAATGAACTTTTTACAGTACCAAGACCAATTTYGACTTGCCACTGTTTTCATTGCTACACTCTTAACGAGACAACAGTTGTGACAAAATAGGGCAATACACTGCCGTCAGTCAATGCATGTAAGGATACCAAACCATTTATTTGATTGATAGTAGTTTGTTGCTTGATTTCCATGTCACAACTGTTGTCTAAACAGCGTGTAGCAATGAAAAGAGTAATCATGCAGATGAGGCTGATAGTAAAACCAAAAAGAAAACTCACTTTCTCGTTTTGAGTTCTATTTGTACAGAGTTCTCCATCTGATTTATAGTTCCATAACATTTCCAATCAAATGCAGTTGTTACTACTTCATGTGCGTTTAGGAACGCTTTAAGTGGATCTTTGTTTGCATTTCTGCATTGTTTTATGGTACCATTCCAAGGCCTCCATAAAGTAGTAACTCAATGAAGATTACTTCCTTCATGTCTCAATTTACACAAAATGGCTTTATCTATCAGCTGCCATCACAGATCGTAACTCAATAAACAAAAGCATTGGTTCAGTTCAAAGATTCTAAAAAGCCTGTTGAACAGATTTTTAAACCAAACACAAACAGGAAATATAGTTTCCTAGAATGAATGTGGATATATTCAATATGGGTTCCCTGTGCTTCCATGAGACCACAGGAACCCCAAACACCATTGTTATAGTTGAATTATTTGAGTAAAAAAATATCAATTCACCAAATTTGAATGTTTATGYAACCTATCATTGAATGCAAAATTAATGAATTGTTACAGTCGTTATTAGCTCTTTAAAATAGTTAAAAACATATAATTATATTACAAGAATAAATATTTTTAACTGCATTGCTGATACAAACAGGACTACTTCTCTCATCGCTTATCATTCTGCCTACCAACCAGTATTAAAGTATTRGCTTTGCAAGATAGACTGCAAATATATACTTAATTCTGTGATATTGAGAAGTTTGAAGACAATCAACCTCTTTACCTTTGGCATAAATGTTTTTCTATTTCAGACCACATGTCATTACCAAGAGTATCATCGTTTAACAGTGTTATTCTCAAGAGATTGACACTTGGTCTGAAATGTGAAAACATTTCAGCATACCAGTAACACAATTATGAAGAATTTGTAGATCCAAGGGTTGGGCATCCAGACTTCCCTGTCATACCTGAGGTTTAATTAATCCTAAGAGCTATTTTTGCCACAGGGTAAAAAGTAAATTTTGTAATGAAGTATACATTTGGACTCCCCTCTCAAAAATTGGATCTGCCCTTGTTTTTGGTGTGAAAGGGTTCCTTCAACCTTGWTTTTTTATGAAAATCTCTTAAACTCATAAAATATATACTTTGAAAACATTCTTTAATGACAGTGTATAATGTCTAAAAAAATTAACTCTTCTTGCAAAGCCTAGCGATGTCCTTTTTCACTTTTATCTTGGGATTTTTGTTCAATTTCTTCTCAAAAAGTGCCCTCAATTCATTGTCAGTGAATGGCTTATTGTCTCCTCTGGACCTAAACTCTGCAAGTACCTTAAAAGAAGACATTTCAAAGTAAGTATGTATTCGATCAGGATTCAATCTGGTAGGAAACAGGATATCAGAATCATGATATCGTGAGATTCTAACAATGCACTCTTAAAATTATTGTCTTGAATGCGAGGCTAACAAAAAAATACTAAAAAAATGCCACAAATTCCTTCAAGAAAAAGTTTTGAGATTTGTCTAGGCATCGACAAATAATTTTTCTGAATAAGACTTCCACAACTGCAGTTGATACTTTGTTTTTATAAACAATATGTAAACTGTAAAGTTGATTTCTATCAATCTTACCTTTTTCCTAAGTTTCTTTACTGGAAGCTCATTATCTGGTGCCTCCTTCAAAGCCATCTTTATTATTCTACCCCAGTTAAAGTTTCCTTAAGATTAAATGAAGCAAAAATAAGTATGCTTACAACTTCATCAAAAGCATTTATATGATGACTAGTGACAAAAACTTCAAATTGACTTACCTTGAATATCTTTTTCTTCCACCATTTCGTCTTCCATATTATTATTGTCTTCTATTCTTGATATCTTCCCTGATGGTTCATCTGTATAGTACGACATGAATTCCAATGTTACATTCAACACATCATTTACGGGAAGCATGGGTGGCGTAGCGGTGAGAGTGTTCACCATTCACCAATGCAGTCCAGGTTCAAGTCTTGATGTGCTTTGTGTTGTACAGTTGTATGTAAGTAGAGATGGTTGTTGGTTCTCTCCTGTGTTTCAAGGGTTTTTCAGTTTTCCCACCAGTGRATGAAAAGCCACTCTGTGAAATCCACTGTTAACCCCGTTATTTTATTTTCAGTGCATTTTCAGTACACATATTAATCGTATTTACATTACCTTGTTCATTTTCATCACGTTTCCTTTTTCTTTTCTTCTTCTTCCCTGCTCCATTTTGTTCATTTGTGTTATCATCTGCTTTATCCTTTTTTGATTTCTTATTTCCTACAACTTCTTCCACTCGTTTCTTCTTTTTCTTTTCCTTTTTCTCTGTCTTTTTAGTTTCCTTAACATTTGGTTCCTCTTTACTAGACTCGCTATTCACTTCTTCTTTATTATTTTGGTCCGGAACTTGTGCCTCACCATTGGACTTCTGGTTTTGTGTGCTTGCCTTAAATAACATGCAATAGTTTTTACTCAGGCTTTCAAAGAAATGCCAGAGGTATAAATTGGGCTTTATTACAATTTAATTAAATGCTCAAAAAATGGGGTGGGGAGGGAGGAGTTACCATAGTATATAATTTCAAAAATACCTTGTTTCCTCCAGAAAATGCATCCCACAGTTTATCCAGAGTAGTTTGATCATATATCTTTACGCTGTTTTTGCAAAAATTCTGAAATTCGATGAGAATTAGAATAACTTAATTCAGATGAAAAAAGAAGAAAAGAAACAATCAAGACAGCAAGTAGAATTTACCTGAAACTTTGCCTTTTTTCTTGGGATATTGGAATATTGTTTTAGTGTCTGTAGGTGTTTTCTGATTGATGGGTCGACTGAATCAGATCCAGTCACTTCTTGAAGTTGCTAAAAGATTCAATCAAAGGTTTAACATCACAGTTTATCAACTACAACATCATCTTTCTCAACGACAACAGAGACAAAAACGAATAGAATAGCAATTACCTTTATCCATTCCTGTTGTTTTTGCTCTCCTTTATTCGCCTTCTCCTTAGACTGAAACAATTTGCCTTGATATTTTTCAGCTTCTGATATACAACTTGTGTGAGCAGCATATTCTTCGCCATGGAAATCTTTCCCACAGTCAATGCAAGACAGAACATTGCACTGACGACAAACCGTCTGGTAGTGTTTCTCAACCTGATTTTTACGAACTGATTGTCCACAGGCGTTACATATAAAAGACACCATCTTTGAGTTCGGGTTTTTTAGCAATCAGCTGTTAATGAAGCAAAATATTTTGATATTTTTGTAGTAAACTTGTTATTTCTGAGTTATAGAAAGTTTTGAAAATAATGCACGTGGCTAACGAGCATGCGTATACGAGCATCGCGCAAATAACTTTCGTGGGGGGAGGGGTAAAAAAATATTTTTRATGCGTCATATTTAAAAGTTTTCCACAAGAAATAATACGAAAGAAGTGTTTTTCCAATCAAAGGTAACTCATGTAATTGGTGAATTTTTCTCAATGTATTTTTTCTTAAATTGTAGGTATTATTATTTTATTTCATACTTTACCCATATCCCACACGGGCCTCTGGCACCCAGGGTACTCCCCTAGAACAACGAATGTCCTGTCCCCAGTCTCTCTCGTGCAGACTAGATTACAAATCATCACAACCTGCAATTGTTTTGCAGAGAACACTAAACTAAATTTTTATTTAGACAGCGATCTCCTGAAATATTAACTAGCCATTGTACACGAGTCTTTGAACCAAGCAATGACGAGACTGATTTCAACGAAATTTGAAAAATTATTGAAGCTACTACGACGAAACRGCTGATAAAGGATGAGCTGATTTACAGTCCTTCACTTGAGAAAGAGAATATTTTTTTATGATTTTTTCAACCAACAGAACCTGATTTTCTGATTTTAGCGCCATTTAGTTATTCTTTGACGAAAAATGGTTCAACGTGGAGTTGTCTTTGCTATGCTCTTCTATCTTACATGTGCCGTAGCTACTACGATTTATATTTCTRTGTTATATTTGAACGACGAGAAGTGTGACTGTAGAGAGTTCATGAAGAGATTAGTTATACGTGATGGACTAGAGGAACACAATCATTTTTTAAATCCTACAAAAAATAGTCGACAACACGTAAGAGATACTATATTAAATAACGAAGACACAGGACAAAGTAAGTAATACAACTTATTAGATTTCCATATAAACTATTTTTAAAAGTAGTYTCTCAAAATGACTAATTAACTGTTTATTAACTCATCATTAGTACTAAGTAAAAAAAAATTAAGGCTTACTTGTGAAATTGTCGTACTTGTTATATATCACCTGAACTATAATTTTTAAAAAATGAACATTTTCCTCTCATTTTGTCAATGTTTTGTACGAATTTTCGACATACAGGAATTTTTCATTTTATAATTGTGCTGTTATCTCGAGTATTACATATACTAGTATTTGATGGTGAGAATGTTAGTTGTCATTTAAAAAGTACTCTAAAATTTTTTCCATCCATTAAAACACCCCCTTACCCTGCTTTTTTCACCAAAAAATTCACAATCTTTGTAACTATATTCTGCATCCCTCACCATATATGCAGGAACAATTTTGCCTACCCCCTAGGCCTGCCAACCCAACCACCCCCAGACCCAACTACCCCTGCCTCATAAATCTCCAAATGTGCATTTGCCTCATGATCAGTCAAATGTCTCTATTAAAGTTTACATGACCGRATACCTCATAAAGACAGTACCAAATGAGTGTACATATGCTATGTATACTACATCTCATCTCAGATTCATCCTGTCTTTAGCCTATAAGAGGTTGGTCTTATCCACCCTTCAAACAGCCCCCACCCTGCTCGCCAAAACACACACTCACAGTTTATTGTTCATAATGTTTATTGCATTAATTTTGTTACAGGAAAACCTAAAGAAAGGAAAGATAAAATAAAGACAGCTGAAGATGAGTCCTGGGGACCACATGTTCTTGGGATTGTTGTACCTTATCGCAACAGATTTGAGGAGTTACTAGAATTTGCACCTCACATGCATAAGTTTCTAAATGAAAAAAAGATAAAACATAGAATCTTTATAATAAATCAAGTAGACAAACTCAGGTGAGAGTAATTTCATGAATCTTTACTATTAATAGTATACACACATTCCCAAGAGAGTCAAAAGACAAAAGCATGGCGGCCATATTTGTGGGGCCGTTAACAATGGATGCTAATAAGAAATCTTTTATTAAATGGCACCAATGCTCCCTCGAGAGGCCGCAACGACGTAACCTGCAATCAAAGATTAGGGAATGATATATGTARTCTGAAATGGAAAAACAGTGGATCAGATCTACTCAATAATAATATCTAAAGTTTTATATAGTTAGAAGTATTTATTTGGAATCTTTCAGATTTAATCGTGCTTCTCTTCTCAACATTGGTTACTTGGTGGCCAGAAATGAATGTGATTACATTGCGATGCATGACGTTGATCTGTTACCATTAAACAAGAAGCTCTTTTATGGGTATCCAGAGAAAGGACCATTTCATGTCTCAGGACCTAAACTACATCCGAAATATCACTATAGAACATTTGTTGGTGGCATCTTAATGATGACAATTGAACAGTTTGAAAAGGTAAACTCTAATAAAAAACATCAAGCTCTAGAGGAGGGGGGATACACACAAATGAACTCAAGAATTCCCCAATAAAAGAGGAACAGTCCATTAGGTACTGATGTGAGTGTTGGTCTCACCTGACCTTGCTCCTCCACTGTGGTAGCCATGGCAACCAGTCCACACCTCACCAACTGGTGCCAATCACACTGGCACAACCAGTAATTAGTAGAGAGTGCTCACTTCCAAATACTGAWGTGTGGGTGTGCGGTGGTGATAAAAAAGGAGTTGAAATCCGAGTTGCAAACAATATGTGCCAACTTGCAGAATATTGCCAAAACTACAAACTAGCAACATCCGGGTTCCCTGTAGCAAATAGAATTGTTGAAAATTACCTGGTCTTGGCTTTAATTTTGCCTTAAATTCATTTAGTTTAGTCACATCATAACAAAGGAATGGAAAACTCCTAATGTGTTTAATGGATCCAACTTCAATCCCACTCCTTTAAGGAGAATTGTAGGCATTTTCCTGGTGATGAAAGAGTTTGTTTATACAGGTAATTTCTTTGTTTCATTTAATTCAGGTAAATGGACTTTCAAATAGATTTTGGGGCTGGGGACGAGAAGATGATGAACTGTATCAGAGAATGATGGAGGCTGGACTTACAGTGAGTAATTAACTTTTACATTATACATTAAAATAATGAGAGGATAAGATCATTTATTTATTATTATTTTTATTTATCATATGAGAGAGAGAGAGGTGAAAAATGAAAGGTGCCTCTTTTCATGCAAGCAAAACATCTTCTTTTCTTTTTTTTTCTTTCCACCTTCCTATTTTCCTTCCTTCCATCCATGCATCCATCCATCCATCCATGCATCCTTCCATCCATCCATCCATCCATCCTTCCATTCATCCAACCATTTATTCATTATCAATATATCCTTCCAACCATTCATTCATTCAGCCRTCCATCAATCCTTTTTCGTTTTTATTCTACTAAATTTATGACACTTTTACATTAAACAAACAATACTAACCATCCACCTTGTTATCCATCTATCCATCCTTCCACCCACTCAYCCACCCACCCACTCACTCACCCACCCACCCACACACCAACACACCAACACAGATTTATTGGCATACTTATGTATATATGTATACAATTTGTATGGTGTTTACTTTAGATATACCGTCATGGAAAGAAACACATCACTACGGGATATGACACCTTTAAACATGACCATGATCCAGAAACACGTAAAAGGGACTATAAAAGATTATTTAACCAGAAAAAGGTATAATTGTTAGTATTATACTGTTGTTTGTCTAGATGCAAACACTAGATATCAAAACATGTTCTAACTGAAAGGTTAACATTGTCAATTTCAAAYGAGGCCTTCTTTGAAATCAACTAACAGCTGGCTCTTGAAACTTTGTCGGCTAGCAGGGTAATGATTACCCTGCTAGCTGACAGTTTCAAGAGCCATTTAGAACATACTTTGACGTCTAGTTTGCTATAGTGTTTACTGTATTTTATATTTGTGAATTTTGATAAAAGCACAGAGAAAATGTTTCTGTTGAGTTGTATACCTATTACCTTTAAGGAGAGGGAGGAGTCTTCAGGGGCGTAGGTAGGGGGGTCAAGAGAGCCAGGGTTCCCCCTTTGTGACAAGAAATTGGTGGCTTTTTAGAATTCATACGGAACTTTATTTTTATTTTTGGGGGTAAAAATAAAACATAATGCTGCCTTTTTGTTGTTCTACATTTTGGGGGCTCAAATAAAATGGGCGTTTTTTWAAAAATTTACCCACATAAAAGACCAATCAACCCTCACAGAGATATAAATGCAGTATTTTCTTTGTTCTACAGGAATCATTCAAAAGAGATAGAAAGACAGGTGCAGATAATGTTGAATATGATATAATGAGTATGAAAAAGCTGACAATAGATGGGGCACCACTGACTATAGTTAACGTTGAGCTGGATTGTGATTATGATGAGACCCCTTGGTGCAAGTTTGATAAGCCAGATTCAAAGAGCTAATGATGAATCAATCTAATTGCAATTTCAGGAATATTTACAAATTAATCTGTGAATTAGCCTTTTCCTGCTTTAGATCAGCACATCAGTTGTTTCAGGGTTCAATCTGTGAGTTAGCCATGCCCTGACTTAGATCAGCCCAGAGGTTGTTACAGGGTTCTATCTGTGAGTTAGCCATGCCCTGACTTAGATCAGCCCAGAGGTTGTTACAGGGTTCAATCTGTGAGTTAGCCATGCCCTGACTTAGATCAGACCAGAGGTTGTTACAGGGTTCAATCTGTGAGTTAGCCATGCCCTGACTTAGATCAGACCAGAGGTTGTTACAGGGTTCTATCTGTGAGTTAGCCATGCCCTGACTTAAATCAGCCTAGAGGTTGTTTTCGGTATCCATAAAATTTGAAGTTGACCTGAGTGGGAACAAATTAATATATTATATTCAATACAAAGGAAAAGACATTATATATRTTTTCTTATTCTCAATGTGTTTTTTCTAGAGAGAGGAATGTTAAATATTGATAACGAATACTAAACATAATTATATTTCCTAATAGATTTTGCTCTCATAAAAGAGAGACATTATTTTTAAGCCTGAAATCAGAAATTTATGACCTATAAAATAAGCTAAGAGATAGATCTAAAATATCAAATGGTTATTTTACCGTTCTATTCTAATAATATTCTAATAATTATTGATTCAAATAAGTTTGAATCAATCTTGTACCCAGAGTCTTCCARCGCCTTCCTGTCACAGGAGGACTCGGTGTGAGATTGAGTTTGAATATGATACACCAGTATTTTGAATTTATATAACATGAAATAAAATGCAAATCTTGCTCAGCGCATCTTTAGTTAATACTTTTATTAGCCTGGCCATATATTAAGGTGACCRAGAATGTGTGATACAAAGCCAGTATAGATAAATATAGTGGAATAGAGTGGATTCTTAAAGAGTTGCTATATTTGAGATGCCTTCTGCCAAATAGTACTCTAATAGAGGTGTCCAATGAATAGATGTTGGTTTTACAGTAATACAGTGATACCTCTATTAAGTGAACACCTTCTGGACCTTACCTGGTGTCTGCTAAATAGAGGTTGGTTTTACAGTAATACTGTGATACCTCTATTAAGTGAACACCTTCTGGACCTTGCCTGATGTCTGCTGAATAGAGGTTTGTTTTACAGTAAATACATTCATTTGGTACTTAATATCTTATTCAAACTTTATTTTTGCAATTTCACAATAATATTACACATTTGACATTTAGCATTTTTAAATAGGGACACACTTTCCCCACCTGCAGAGAGCATTATCTATTACATTGTGCATCCTTATCCCTCACAAGTCAGCCACAAGTCTATGTTCTTTTTCCCTGTATTTATAGCTTTTGCTCTCATTTAACCAAAGGCAAATAAGAGCTACTTGTATTTAGTTGTTACCTTACATATTGACATATTTTGTTTCTTTTACAAAAAATTACATCCTCACATGTGACAAAAGGAGCTCAATTTGGAGGACAAAAAAGAGAATTTCAATCTCATGAGAATATTGGAAAACTATCAAGTCCTCCAAATTGAGCTGCATTCCGATGTTCTGCAAGGGGTCTATTCTATTCTACAAGTAATTACTATTTGGGCATGACCTAAAGTATAGGATCAAAGTTTCTTAGAAGTTTCAGAGCAGATAATAATTTTTTTTCCTTTTTATTTAAATATTAACTGAGTAGTAAAACAGGAGGAATCCATGCCTTCTCCTTTTCATAGTTAAGGACCTAAAAAATGCCCAACATTTGACCCAGCATTTAGCCAACATTGGTAGAATGTTGCCAAATTGTTGTGTTGTGAAAAGCTCCCACGACAAATGAGCCCAACATTCATCCAACGTTCTGAAGAGACAGACAGTGGCTGGAATCTCCATTCACGAGAAGATTACCAATTTCTACTAGCTATTTTTTCTTGATTTTTATTAGTGGATAGTTGAGAATTCTTGAAGCAGGCTAAATTGCTCAAGATTATTTACTGAGATGCTTTTTCGAACATTGCCAACAATTGAACGTACCTGAAATAGTAGGGAAAAGCACGTCAGACAAATACTCAGTACATTAAGATGTTGGTAAGTGTTTGGTAAGGTGTCAGTTATAATGGTAAAAGTGTTAGTGGTCAATAGCAAGAAGAATGCCCCATATCAGTGTCAATAGGGTGTTGGCCAACTGCATATCAACACCCCATAGACACCCTACCAATTACAACACCTTACCAAAACCCTACCTATATCTGCTTAATAGCCAATGACAGCCACCACATTCAAAGCACCCTTCTCACACTGATTTTGGGTTCACATTCTCTACCTAAAAGTAAACAAAGTTAGGACTAATGCTGTGTTACTTACCAACTGCGTAAAGAAGGATGATTCTTTGGGTTTCTCTGAATACTTTTCGTAATGATCCAAATTGTCTTGGAGTTTGAGGGTCAATGTGTCGTAATTACTTCGAATGACCTCAAGTACCTGTGGAAAATGAGCAACACAATGAAGCATTCAATAAAAGTTTTTCATAATTACTTAATACCACTAATTATGACAGCATTAATTGTGAATGTGTRCAAACTATCCACCATTTCACTAAAGAGATAATAATATTGATAATTCAATATTTTGTCTTTCCCACTTTTTGTGCCTTTTCAAGAGTGCAAAGTGATGCCTAGGCACTAATGCACTGAATTCTACAAACTCCTGCCTCATAGGCATGGGTGGCACACACTGCTAATGCATTGTCTTTCACTGCTGTGAGTCAAATGGGTTGCATCACTGATTCAAGTCCTGCAGTCACCCCATGTGAATTGAGATTGTTTGGTGTGTTGTTCTCTCCCTTCCTATGAGAGTTTTTCTCCTGGTTCTACAGTTTTCCTCCCTCCATAGAAATCAACATCTGAGTTGAGTGTCTAGAATATTTGTATGTAGTAAGGAGTGTGTATGGAGGATACATGGCCCCACAAGCTTCCATCTTYAAGGCCTACCATGTGTAAATAAAGAATACTTATTATTATATTTTTATTTGTCCAAGTATTTCTTACCTGCTCTGTTGTCATGGTAGACACATGATTGACAGCAGCCCAAGAGTCTATCTTAGGGGTGAAATGATTGACGATGGCTCTGTCAAAACAAGTGGATAACATTTTTGATTACAAATTGCTACATCCTTTAAGATTCATATGGCGATTCATATCCAAGTCTGATGTATACCAGGAAAAGTTTCTTCATACCTGACATTAACCAGTGATCCAGATAATTTGCTTGCTGCATCCTTCCATTCACCACCATTTGTTGAATGCCTTAAAGCTAAAAATATATAAAAAAACCCAGAGGATTTCAAGACTTTGGATACCACAGGTCTTCTCTTGATTAGCATAGCCAAATTGAAAGCTCAGTGCTCACATAAAATTCAGACAACAGGAGTTTACTCACCCATTGAATAAAGGTTGTCAAATATTTGATGCACTCGAATAACTTCATAGTATAACTCATCATATGATGTGGGGCAAGGTAGAAACGTGTCTCCATATGTAATAAACAGATTGAATATATTGACAACCTGTAAAAAAAAGAAGCTGATTAAACTAACAGTTACCTAACTGAGGACATGYGTAATGGGTAAATAACGAGCCTTGTATGAAACAACTGAAGAAGAAGGCCAATGGACAATTTACCAGAACTCAATAAAACATAGCATGATCAAAAATGGTCAACTAGAAGCATGAGATRGAATTGGAGAGAGGAATTACCTGCGAAGCAAGAGAGAAGATGTTGCAAATCTTGACCAAATGTGTTTCATTGGAGAGGATAAACTTAAGGAGATTCATCAGCGACATCCATAAGTCCTTCCATGAGTATGCCAAACGAACACGACATCGCTTCTGGTAGCATAGCATGCGATGAATTACACCAAGTGCTTTGCTGAAACAAATGATAGTCATCTGCTTGGTATAGTACTAACTCRCATAATATATACATACCAGGGTGCACTTACTAAGCTAGGTTACTACAAATAATACTATCGGTACGTCGTTGCTGGGTGCCCTTGAGTTGCCAGATATTACAGCTATACTATTTAGTTACAAGTTACATAAATCAGGTTCGCTTTACTACTTGCAAAAATACTGTAGTAGGCACTTAGAGCAGCTTGCATTTTTCAGCAGTTTTTGACAGTAAAAAAGTCGCTGGAGTATAGTCAGTGCCGTGACTGTGATGTTTTCTAGAATTTTGATTGGCAGATTTTTTCTTGCACAATTTCTTTTCTTGCAGTGCTGTGACATTGGCATGACCATGTTCGTAATATGCTTGTGCCATGTTCCGGRTATTTGATTGAATCCATAYGGAGAGTAAATTCTCGTACAATGTTATTGGTCTGGTGTATGCCTTGTCGTGTCACGACCATGTTCATGCTATGAGCTTTTCACAGTCATGCAAAAATKTCTCTATCAGATAAGCACTTACTAACCACACTTACCTGTATAGCTCAGCCTGCAAGTTTTTCATCATGTGTGTAACATTGAACTCTATCATGAGATCTAAGAAGGAGAAATCAAAGTTCTTGTCATTTTTCATCCAGTAACATTATTATACTTATTAATAATATTACTGTACATTCATTTATACATGTATTCCAAAAAAGGGTGGTGAAGTTTTTGTCCCATGTTCCATCTTTCATCTTGCATACCAATAATTAATTCAGCACAGAAAAAAATATGCATGGAAAAAACGTGCAGAAAAGGTTTCGGGGAAAATTCCATATTGTTGTATTAAACCTTTTGCTGATTGAATTCATATTGCACATAGTGCATTTTTGGCTTAATATGCAACATGTAACGAAACCTTTACCAACCTTTCTCGAAATAACCGTAATGTGGATTTATTCTTACCTAAGAGAGCACATGCTAAGGGTTTGGATGGAGCACTTTCTATGACAGGTTTTCGGTGATGCATGTGCTGCAAAAGAGAAAAAACAATAGCACAGCCTTTATCAGTTCTTAAGTTATTGGAAGTAATTTTAAAGGGAAAAGTAAAAGCAGTGATACCTATTATCAGGGCAGAACAATTTTAGGATTGAATGTTACTAATACTTACTACTCTATGCAAAGGTACAGAAAAGATCATATTGGGGTCGTGAAGAAAGGCATTGGCATACTGATCCTACAAACAGAAGAATTATAAACAAATAAGYTTAGTTCAGAAGTATTTCACAAACAAACAACAACATGACCATGCTGGCCAATAACATCCCACATACTCAGGATCCAATTTAAGAGAAACCAACTAAAAAACAGCCTTTTTAGAAGCTGTGTTTACTAAGAATGTGTTTTCATGACTTGTCAAATGCATGCAGTCTCTATGACTTTATGATCATGCAGTGACACGTGTCAGTCGATCATTAGGTAACTGTTGGCTAATGACTAGCTGACTTTCAACTGATAATTGGCCAATAGATTGTCAACCAATGATCAGCAGATAGTCTGCCTACTGTCAACCAACACATGTCCACAAATAGTACACAACAAGCCTCTAGAAGTCAACTTGCATTAGGCTTTATCTACTRTCTAGACTGTTACGTACCTCTACTATGCAAGTTAAGATAATAAAACAGAGTCTTGCATTGTTGATCCCTTTTTCCTCTGCAAAATATAACCAAATATAATCCAATTTTTGCCTGTTTAGCAGTTCTGTACAATTTTTGGCAATTTTTGAACATTCTGTACAAACAACAGGTCTGACAGCCAACAGCAACAGCCACCTAGACAATAAAGGCACTGACACACTGTGCAACATTGCATGCAACATTGCAGGCAATGTTGCTGAAGTAGGATAGTTTTCTACTTCAGCAACGTTGCATGCAAGAAATTGCATTGTGTCATGGCTCGCAACATCAATTGCATATGTGTCCGTAGCTTAAGAACCAATCAAATTATAGAATGAAAACAATAAATTATTTGTAACATCAGGGTCAAATTACAATGTTTTCATTCTACATTTTGATTGGTTAGCTGTGTAAGTGGCCCTGGTTATAGTACTTGCACTGTAAAGATTATAGGAATTTTATTACTTACCTTTGGTACTTTGAAAAGCAATGGAGGAATAAGTAAGGAATGTTACRAGGATGTTTGTTGGCTGACTAAGGTCTGCTGGTAACTCTTCTGATACAACACCTATGGAAGATAAAACATAATAGCACCAGTTAAAATAAACTTGTGTTACATTCCCTAAGTATAGACCCCTGCATGGTACATCAAAGCAGCAGATCTATATATCAAACAAAAATTAAACATGAGGTCACATACCATGTGCTGGTCTCTCGACGGCAGGGTGGGCTGCTGTTGGCGATACTGGAGGGCTGGAAGAAGGTACTGTCTGAATTATGCAAGTAAAAAATTGTATTATTATCAAATACTATTAATATAGCTCTAAATCACTGGATTAATAAAGAGAGCTGAGATTAAGGAGTTAATAGTGAGTCAGGGTGGCATATATGATTCAGGCTAAAATAAGTGTGTGATATGTGAAAATAACAAAATGTACATAGCGGTTTATGAATTCTGGGTTTACCATTTATATATCTATATGTTTATTTGGTTTATAAGGGGCACAAGAAATATCGACACAGGAAAAGTAATGCAAACCCCCTCCCCCACTGGTGAATAGGATTTGCTTATTTTTGAAAAAAAGATTTTTTTGGGTGTAACCACCAGGAGTTGGACAAAGAAACCAATAAGAAATAGGAACTAACCGTCACATGGCTTAACACTGTGAAAAAATTTCTGTTCAGATGAACAGCTTCGTAGAGAGCCAGTAAGACAGCATCATTTGTACTGCAAAATAAATGAAATTTTATGATTAGTTAACATTACTAATAATTCAAGTTCAAATTTATTCACACACAAATAAACAAAAAGTATAAATTATTTACAGAATTGTATGATAAAGATATAAAGTATATGAAGTTACAGAGAATATTATTACATGTAGGAGGAAAATATGCAGCTTTAATTTGAGAAAATATAATGCATACATGTGTCATGCTGAGCAGGGGCGTAGCRAGGACCTAGGAGCTGGGGGGACACTGATCCAAAATAAGAAAAAATTTCAAATTCCCACGTGCAGATTCCAGGCTCTGACCGGGTTCGCAGTGCACAGGTAGCCCATCCGGATCACTTCGTATAAATTCACACTTTTGTAGGTCGTAATAATTTATTTTCCTCTTTCGTTTCGGTTTAATATGTTTTTTTTGTTGTTATTCTTTTTTCAAAAATGTTGGGGGGGCACATGCCCCCCCATGCCCCCCTCACTACGCTACTGATGCTGAGCAACGATCCATCAACTATCCCCTGCAATATTTGACAGGCAATCTTGTTCTACTTATAGTGACTGACATCACAAGACTTGCTGTTGGTAAAAGATAGCATTATTGACCAACATGCTTGTCATATTCCTACCTGATAGATTCCACATTTTCATCATCACCAACAAACATACTTCCWACCTAAAAAAATTAAAGGAACATTAAATTTTGATGTAAAGCTTTTTACCTCCCAATCTCARGAAAAATTATTATTATTATATCATTTGTTGGAGTAACACCAGGTACAAGCAACATTATTTAACCATACTATAATGTAATTAACCATAATTAAGGACATCTTTAGGTAAAAATACTTTGTACTTACAAAACTTGTGATGCTGTTCAAAATACCACCACTTGCTTGTTCTAGTTTAGYGTGGTGTTTTCTAGAGTAAGGAAAGACAAGAAAAGACAAAAATATGAGGGRCTATCATGGCTTATCTGATGTCATCAGTAAATATCAAATTCTTTAACAAAAATAACTACTGTGGTCAATGTACTGCACCTTGATTTCCATAGATGACAATACAACTACACTGGTTGTGATAGCTATTATGATAAATACCTGTTGTAGTTTGTTAATGCAGCTGATATGACACACCCAAGTCCCTGTCAAACATAAAGCAGAGTGACTATACTACTTACGAAGCATTAAGGAATTAGAATAAGTGTCTTAAAAAATAATATGGTCTTACGTTTAGAGCCAGCTCATCATCTAGGATTGACAACTTCACAATGTAGGGATTTGACGCCTAAATAATAAAAAAATTTGAATTTAAACCTAAAATATATGGATTTATAGTATCTATTACTTTTATGTATGACATCAATTATTGTACTGAAAAACAACTTCTGGGTCCAAAACAAAAAGCAGTTCTATAAAATATTCCTTACTTTTTCTATATGACAATTAACATAACAATGTTGTTTAAAGTTCAAATAGGTTTTAGGTGCAGGTTAAGTCATTTAGTAAATTTTTCACTGAAGAAAATGCACGCTCATGCTGTGTGCAGTTATAAAGTACGCGGGGGTTGGTAGAACACAAGAGAAGTGTTAGGAGAGGAAGCACCACACATAGAGGAGTACTATTATTTCCAATAGGAATGACACAATTTAAAGTGTTCTGGAATGCTCTGTGCTCTCATAAGGCACACTCTCTAGACCAATCAGAACCTGATATTTATATAATTTATTTTATATTTATCTTGGCAGTTTTTGTGAGCTAGCAGTTGGACCTCAAAATATATTACAACTTACAAGTTATTTTGTTACCTCATATTTTCTGTAGTTGACCAAAATAGTGAGTAACAGCATAGCCTCATACCCATGCTGTTGCCTAGCAACTGGATCTGCAAGAATCTGGAAGCATGTTCAAGACTTAGATTCTTATTACTATTACTATGTATACTATTACGTACATACTACCATTCTCACTCCATAATTTATTAATTAGCAGGAAGCAGTATAAATTGCCTCCATGTACATGCCTTATTGCATAACCTTGTACAGAGCGTTGGAAGCCGAGAATTGGCCCACCCCTCTCCCCTGGTTGTGGAGGCTTCAGGTTCCTCTTTCTCGCTGTTTACCTTATATCACAACAGTCACAGATCTCGCCCATATGAGTATGCAGTGAAAATATGTTACTAAATCTGTGAGAATTGACATAGCATTTACCTGAATAATGGCTTCAAAAACACTGTTTATCATTATGTATTCCACTATTGTGTTTTGACTGACATTATCAGTTGCCTTAAAAGAGAAAAATACATTTTTGATAAATATTTTCAAATACCAATAATACATTGTTACTATAATGATAAATTAGACAGTTGAACCTAGTATACTCACAGTTACTAAGATTAATGCCAGTTTCAGGGCAAGATTCTTTAAACTCACTAAACAGAGTAAAAAGTTCATTCAATTTCAAATATTTTGAATACTTTCTTTTYTTAATGGTGATTTAAAATTCATTATATTATACTGATTATAATTTGTATTATAAATATTGTCATACCTGGGAAATCTCCCACTATAAACGTATGCAGACTTTCTAAAAGACCCTGAAAAATATCAAATTATCATTAATATATGTACCATTCATCCATAATTAACTTGTTTGATTGTTYGTTCATTCATTTTTTTGTTTCTTTGTTCCTTCGTTCGTTTGTTTTTTGTTCGTTTGTTCTTTCTTTTCATTCATTCATTTATTCATTCCTTCATTCATTTATTCCTTCATTAACTTGTATTCATGTAATCCATTTTATTTTATATTGATTATTTTATTTAAGCTGTTGACTAAACATCTTATTTGGGTCTCCTGTGGAAAGTAAACACCACAGGAAGCCCAAGTCAAGTATCACATCATACAATTTGACATCTTAAACGACAAAAGATTAAAAAYTGCAATACCTGCATTTGTGCCTCAGCAGCATCAAAACCAATTAAAATATTGATTGCATCAAAGCCGAGGTCAGCAAGTTTTTTTCTGAAGACAGCTTGCACTAAAGCACATAAAGTCTGAAAAAAAGGGTTTGGTTTATTATTCCATAGAAACAGAGCTTTTCTCATTGTTGTATCACATACATGTATGTTACCTGTAATGCATTGACCACCTTGATCTGATGTCCACCATGAAGAGCAATACAGCATTGTGCAAACAGCAGATTTATAYTTTCCTGATGTACAATGGAATAATTTAATAAATATTGCTTCTATCAGACAGAATTTTTTTTTAAATAATGTCACACCTTCACAGCCATGAGCTCTTCCAAAGTCATTTCATCTATTCTGTTCTCCAAATATATGGCATTAACCTTGGCAGAAAACAAGAAAAACAGTATATAAGAAACTATTGATGGTAGCAATAAGATCAAACATAAATGTAAAATGCTTTTTAGGGACATGCAAATTCTAATATCAATATTAATAATAATAATAATGCATCATCATCATCATCATCTGGTAGCAGGGGGATTACAGGAATGATATTTTGAGGTTAGTAGGAAGTAAATCCCCATGTAGATATCCTCAGTTTTACTGAATAATCTATGAAATATCTTCACCTTGAGCAAGAAGAGTTCATGCCAGAAGTTAGTATTTCCAAAAGATGGATCTGTTCCCTGAAAACAAAATCATAGTTAATTTGATCCAAGAAAGCCAGAAATAATAAATTAATAAAAGACTAAACCCTTCCACTCCCTTCCCCTCCCTCTTCACAGGGATGTCAGAGCGTTATTTTTAATGCAGGGGGGGGGGGGCACAATTCAGATTATATATAAATGATATAAAATGTTCAAGGAGACGTGCAAGGAGATGTGCAAGTTCAGTGTAGAAAAGGTGGGGGGCTCTAGCTTCCCTAGCCCCCCTCCCTCCCCCCCATCTCCGACGTCCCTGCTTCAACACAAAAACGTTTTAAGAGCAATGGAAAGTTAACTAAATATAAAGAAATGGAAGTAATCATGCTAGTTTTATTCATTATTGGAGGATAAAAACTCTTATTCTTTTGGAATAAATGAATAGAAATGGGGAATAGGGAATTGATGATTATAAAGTGGGAATATTGTGATCTTCCTTAAGCTGTTAATTTTCCCATAAAAAATCTATAAAAGGAAGTTAAAGTTGGAAAACTTGATCTCCATGACCTATTGTGCCATGTATTTAATAAATAAATCATCAGTCAATATACATTGAATGTTACCTCTAGAAAAGAATCGTAAATCCCTGCTATCTTTTCCTTTAGGCATTTCTTCGATGAAGGAGATTTTGGAGACACTGGTGATGTTGGAGAACTGGGCGGTGAAGACGAAGATGAATGCATTTTACTAACCATTTCAAAATGTGAGATTATAAACACTTGGTTGTGGAAGAGTTCTCCGATAATTTGGCCATTAATCGACAATCTTCACATAATTTCGTCGCCTCCTTTTATGTAGAAATAAAGGAGCTCTGTATTGTTTAACAGTCAGGCTTGGAATGTGCGATTTTCTTTGTTTAGATCAAGAAAATGTTCCACTTTTTTATAAAAACTTGAAAAGGGAAAATTTCATTTTAAGAAAGGTAACCGCTGGACACTTTGGGTTTTAAAGACGCGGAGGCCTGGGAATAGTCTTTATTTATTTATTTTTTTTTTTTCTTTTTTCTTTTCCTTTTTAATTTTCTTTTTAAATTTTCTTTTATTTTAGTATTTTATTCACTTAATTATTTATTTGTTGTTGTTTTGTAATTATGATATTTCCATTATTGAGAGGCTGATTGAGATTTTCCTTTCTTCATGATCCAGAAAATTAGAATTTGATTTTTTTTTGACAACTGGTAAAATCTTCCTAGAAATGTCAGGATTTKTTATTGTTTTTCGCAAAAAAAATGGTTTATATTCAAGCCAAAGATATTGAAAAGTCAAAAAATGTTAACATTGAAAAAAAAAAMCAAATTACTGCAATGCTATTTTTCTTTTGTAAATTTAAGTTTTAATGCATTTAATTGCAATGAGGTTAAACTGGTGAATTTATCTAATAGAAATATCTACATTTTTTAAATCAACTACAGAAATGTTTGAATTTCCCTCCCCTCCCCTCCCCCAAACCTTTTGGTTTGTATGGTCAGCTGACCTGTCACGGGACTATRAAAATTCCCAGAACGCCCTAGTGGCGCGTAAATCCTCCACGTGAAAAACATGGYGGAAAAGAAGACGATATAGAAAATACACCGAGCTAAATATCCCGTAAAAAAACTATGGCAATGACACGAGAAGAAGCTTATAGAGTCCTAGAACTCCATAGAGGTACCTTAATGAACCAATAAGCCTTACAACTTTTAAAGAAACTATTTTGCTGGAATTGTAATTTTGAAAGAAAGAAAATGTGTTTGACAAAGAAAGTCGTAAAGTTCGGTCTTAATATATATTTTTAAATTTACTTGGGTAATRTGGTCTTGAATTTTGTTGTTCTGTGCGTAATACTGCTTGTAGAACTCAGTTAGTTTTCCTTCAGGGTCCATTGAAATGAAAATGTGCTTTATATTACTGCATGTCATAGCTGAATCATAACATAAGCTTTTAAAACTCGAATGTCGTATTAAAATTGCATTGAGAGCGAACGATTGAACAAAATGTTTCAGGATTGTTTACCGATTCTTGTTTGCAAATAAGAATTATACTTAATTATTCCCATTGAAATATCACAAATTGCGATATTACACACCGTTTTAAGGTAGTTTCTTTTCATTTTATAAATATATACTGTGCATGTTTTTGTAGCTCTTTTGTTCGACGAATTTTCGTTCATAATTGAYGTTTTGTCAACACAAAAAATGATATTAAGCTGACATTATTTTGTTTTGTCTTTTCACAATGTGATAAACAGTACCCTCCAAGCATTTCTAGCAATTAACTTAAGACTCATTAACTGCTGTTTGTACTTTTATCTAACGATATGTACTTTTATTGACATTCTTGAGTATCAGACTCAAAATCATCTTATGAAACATCCAGACCCACATCTCTAGTAATAAATGATATGTGATATGTTACCTATCCTCCTTACTCCTCGTGGCACATCAGGAAATGATATACTATTATGAAAAATAGAGCAAGAGATCAATCAATCAACTAGGACTCGCAAGAGCTTCACTTTGATGATGACAAAGATGTCTTCAACCTATAATTTCCAATATATCGCCTCTATGATTTAGAGACGCGGACGTGACTCAATTCTACTACAAGCACCAGCAAATGACTAAGATATTTATTATGTTTTAGATCCAGCACCAGAAGAAAYACGGGCAAGTTATAAACGTCTGGCACTGAAATGGCACCCAGATAAACACAGTAATAGCCCTGAAGCGACCAAGGTTAGTATTAGTATACCAAAATGATATTTTGATAAATATTGGTATTCTCAATGTAAGGAGAGTTCTTACTGTACTAAGACAGTAAGTACTAAATACCAAACCAAAAAAATACAATCACAGCATGTTTCTATCATGGCAGGATCTCCAGTTTTCCTCCGTAACCCTAACAAGCTTAATTATATTTTGATCTGCAAGTTTGCTCATTTTGATCATTCTAGAGATTGTTTCAGAGTATCAATTTAAATTGAAAATTTTGTGAGGCATTGTGGATCATTGTCATCTTATTTTAGTCGTTATTAGATATTATTATTTGTTAATAATTCCTTATTTGTTTTAAATATCCAGAAATTTCAAGAAATCTCTTCTGCATACAAAAGATTGACAAGCACTGAATCTAATGATGAAATACACCTGAGCAGGGTAATATATTATTAACATATATTAATCACTATTAATTTTATTGAAAATCTTATTGTCAACTGTTGGGAAAATATCATCTACCTCTCTTTTTTAAACTTTTTTTTCCATTCATATAATGTAATTTAATTCCATTTTCTTACTTTTGTTGTTTTTTTCCCTGGAGACCCTGAAATGGAGGTCTTAAAAGGTTAAATGCCATGGCCTTACTTACTTACAGTATTTTGGCTTTTGTTTCATAGACTGATATGTTTGATATATTTGCCCATGTATTTTTTCATCGCAATGGTAAGTAATTATATTCCATTCTTATGATGGTTTTTTTTTTCAAGAAAAAGTCATGGTTATGCATTATGTATAAACAAAAAAATTCTAGCATTGGGTACCTTGTTATTTGAGAGAACAGTTTTAAGTTATTGAGATTTTGAGCCGCCAATATTGGCAGCTAGTTGAAAGAAAAAATATTTTCTTCCAATGCCATCAGTATATTTCAAATCCATATAGACCCCTTGCAACATGTCAGAATGCAGCTCAATTTGGAGGAAATAACACTAGGTTTCAAATTCTCAGGAGATTGAAATTACTTTTGTTTTGCCTTCTAAATTGCGCTGGCTTGATGTCACATGCAAGGGATCTAATGGCAGCTCAAAATCACAATAAGTTTTGTACCATGATTCTCCTATTGCCAGGAAATTCTGAGCCAACATTACAGGTTTAAATTGGTGGCTCTTTCCCAGTGAAACTTCTAAGAAATTAATGATAAATGCTAAAATAGTGATMTGTTAAAAGTTTTGTTTTCTCACATGATATTTTATACAAAGCTCAAATTTCACAAAAAAAGCATTCCAACAGTTTGTGAACTCTGAAATTTGAATTCTAGGTATGTTTGACTTTAATCGGTATAACCCATATGAGTCAGACGAAGATTACAGTGATGAAGACGATGAAGATATGGAAGATGAATTGTTACATAATATTGCTACTCGACTCAGAAATAAATATGACAGAAGTAAACCTACAAGTAAGTATTGTTTGTTTTRAATTTTGGGAAGCCATGGTGGTGTAGCAGCAAGAGCACTTGTGTCTCGTCATGGYGACCAAGACTTGATTCCCCAACTCGGCATTATATGCATGTAGAGTGGCTTGTTGGTTCTCTCCTATGCTTTAATAATGAATGATAATTTTATTCTTAAACGTGCAGTACATGACATCTCAATGCTCTTTCAATATGTGTAAAATATCAGATTATCACATACTGAGAGCCTGAAATCATCCCAACTCGCAATCTACAAGCAACAGAACGAGTGGGAATTATGTCAGACTCCCAACATGAAGAGATTAAGAAAGGAAAATAATGGAATAAATATCAATATCAAAAATGAAAAAGCTGAAAAATAATAAAAATATTGAAGAGCAGTTCCATGTAAGGAGCCAGAGACCACCTCAACTCGCAAGTCTACATAATAGCGACCAGACAAGCAGGAATGATGCCAGGCTCCTTGCATAACAAATTGCTTTGAGGGGTTTTCTACAGGTTCTTTCCTTTTCCTCCCTGTGAGAACCTCTAAAAAGCTCTGAAAATATGACAATAATTGATAATAATTTCTAAATTCCAATTGAAATTCAGTGGATGAAAAGCCTATCTTTGGAAATGCTACTGTTAAACCTTATTTATTATTTTCCTTTATTTTTGAATTATAAGAAATTTATGATTATAATTTTAAACCTTTCAGATTATTCAAAAACAAATGGCAAACCTGCCCATAATTTATCTGAAGCAGTAAGTTAAAACCTTTTCAAGAATGTGAAATGTAAAGAACTAGATGTGAATGTGTATTGCTGGTGCTGATTTGTTTTTGTGATATTAACAGGAAGCTTTGAAAAATGCAGAAGAATTAATAAAAGAGGAAGAAAGAGATAGGAAAAAAGCAGAAAAGAGAAGACAAAAGAAAAAGGTAAATAAAATATGTGTCTAAGACTTCCCATATTTGCAGTTTTCCTTTTATGGGTAAAGAATCATTCATTCATTCATTTTGTTCGTTCGTTCATCCATTCATTCATTTCTTTTGACAATTAATGCATTTACTATTTCATTCCAGAGAAGTAAGGAAAAGAGAAAGCAGAAAGACAAAGAAGACAAAGACAAAAAGGATCAAAGTGAAAAGGAGAACAAAAAGGTGACAACAAATATTAGAAAATATTATTAAATATTTGTGTGGYGTCACAGCTACCACGTCGTCTTTCACCACTGTGAGTCCAACAGGTTGGGTCTCTGGATCAAACCCTGCAGTCGCCACATGTGAATTGAGTTTGTTTGATGTGTTGTTCTCTTCTGTGCTACAAAGGTTTTCTCCGGGTTCTCCGGTTTCCTCCCTTCGTAAAAAAAAATCAACGTGTGAGTTGAGTGTTGTGTGCATAGACAATTGAATGTAGTGGTAGTGCGTGTGAGCGAAAAGTATCCCCAATTAGTGCGAAAGTGCTAGAACGACTAGACACTTAAATAAATGTGATTTTTTTAATTTTTATCTTTTATTTTTAAACATAGTGAAATTGGTTGTATTTTACTAATCTTTAAAATGCTGATGTATATTCATCCATTCTTAAATCTTCAGGAAAATGATAAAGAAAAAGTACCAAWTATACAGTTTGAAAAACTCAATTTAAAAGAAAATCAAGATACCAATAAACCTCCTCAAAATGTAAAAACTACTAAATCAAATCACAGTCCTACTATGCCTGGAGTAAAAGAAAAATCACAAAATAACCCTTTTAAAAAGGACCCACRAAAGACAAAAGATAAGAAAAAGTAAGTAACATTGTTTTTTTGCATTGTTGGGGCTCCTGTGGCTTTAACATACAGGTAGCCCAAGTCTTTGTTTCTGTTTAGATTTTTRACTTTAGAGCATTAACCAAATAGACCTCCTCGGTGCTGGAGCGTAATGTTGTCCCATTTCAGACCACGTGTCATTCCCTAGAGAATGATATTCTTTGTTTGAGTTGTATCCATATTCATGTGTCTTCTCATGTGCAACCGAGAGCAAACCATAAACAAAGAAATGATACTCTAGGGAATGACACGTGGTCTGAAATGGGAAAACATTACGCAAAGAAATGATACTCTAGGGAATGACACGTGGAAACATTAAACAAAGAAATGATACTCTAGGGAATGACACGTGGTCTGAAATGGGAAAACATTACGTGACAGCCAAGGAGGTCTATCGAAAGGATATACTAAGGTATCAGACAGATGATCACTGAAAAMTGTTATTCACCCATTCCTAGCATATTCCGAGACCAAAGTAGATTGTGATTTTGGATAGAAATTGAATATCATTCTGTTATCTGGTTGATTTTGGATATTCAATGCTATGTAAACAACTGAGAAAACCATTTTGTTATGTTTGGTTAATGCCATTCATTATTTGCATGATAAAGATGCTTCATTTTATTACTACAATATTGCCCATATCTCCCATTCCACTTGGCTCTAATAATTT